AAGAAGTCTCAGGCTTATACATGGGTAGCAGTGGAAGAACTAAGGAGAAAAGGGTGTGTGTTTCTCAAAGGTCCTAGACAGAAGCAAGTAGGTTCAGAGACAGAAGCATCTTGAGGTTCACTGGAGGTCTCCACTGTTTGAACTGTTCTACTACTTCAGGGCAGGGGCTGCTTTATAGTAGTGGGCTTGTACACCACGAGCTTGACTCGGATGTCGGTTAGGACTGGAGGAGACTCAGCACCAATCTAGAGAAATATGTCTCTGAACCACTTGGAGGGAGGATTGGGAAGAGCCTCAGGATCCCATCACTGAGAACTGACAGCTAGCTGGAAAGGTCCTTAGAAGGTTACAGGTGCCTGAAGAGTTTATCTCTTTCCCAAAGTCCTGGCTCTCTGCAGCACTAGCAGAAACTAGGAGGGTCTTGCTTTTCATTTGCTGGAGTTGAAGATTCAGACGTTTGGTGGTCTTCCACTTAGGTGACTCCTGTAGTGCTCAAGAGAGCTGGTTTGCCAGATTAATTAAATTTGGAGTGGACGTAGTTTCCTATTTCTCTTGGTCCTTTTTACCAGCAGGGAAATGTCCTGGTTTAGCCTGTAAATAAACAGAATTAAAATCTACCTGGTTGGAATTAGCATCTGAAGGAAAGTCAGAATTTTCATTTAAAACAATCTGAAATGAACTGTAATAGTCATGAACAGGCTTATCAGATTTTTGTCTGCAAGCCTGAAATTTGTTCAACAGGCTTTGGAAAAACCCCAGGAATTGCACTAGGAAGCCATGTAGTGATTGTTGAGCCTGATCGTATGAGTTAGCAGGCTAGTTTTGAAACAGAAGGTAGTCATCAGATCTGTTACACCCGAAACCTGCTTCCACTGATTAAGTTCTTTTTAATTGTTTTTACAAAAACGTGCAGATCCTCCAAGAGTCAAGTAGCCTGAACAATAAGAGGTTTGCCTGAGCTGTTTTCCAGGAACTTGGAATCAGCTGAGCCCAATTTGAGCTCTAACTAGTTAAGACCACTGACTCTTCAACTGGGCATGCTCCGTGACCTTTTGACTTCAGAGGGCTGAAAACTCCATCCGCAGAGCATGTCCTGAGCATGCGTATTGTGAAGAAGCCTGTAGCTTAGTTGTATCTAGGCCAGAATGAAGATCACCTCACATTTTCTTGTCTACAATTAGCTCCAATTAGCCTCAGTTTTATCCCAAAGCATACCACCAGCCCCTCGCCTTTGAGGAGGTGGATTTGAGGCTTCCGTCTTCTCGCTTGGCCAACTTGTAAGTAAACGCTTTCTTTGCTGCAAACTTCGGTGTCTCAGCATTTGGCTTGCTGCATGCTGGGCAAACAAACTTGGTTCAGTAACACTTTCCCAGTTGTATTTCTAGGTACCTTTCAGGATTTTCCCAGTTAGCAGTTTTAATTCAATGCTGGGCCTATCCTTGGCCGAGAAGCATATGAACTAGCTGGTAAAAGTCAGAGATACCAGGTTGCTAAATTTGAGCAGCATAAAATTCCTCTGCAAGCCTGTGAGTTTCTTTGGGTTACTGTGGTGGGGGGGCGGGGGGAATCTATGACTATAGCTCAAAGTTCAGCTTTAGTTCAGAGAGTAGAAGAAATTAAGGGTTCGGTCTCTGGATCCTCAGTAGGCCTAATTTTAAAGGGATGGGTTCTGAAAAATTCAGAGGAAAAGGGAGGGGGTTAGATTAAAAGAAAAAGTGAAGTTAAGCAAGAGTTAGTGTGGGGAAGTGAGGGTAGAGAGGAGGAGTAGGCAGCACAGAAGGGAGAAGACAGCCCCAGAGGTCTAAGCACAAGGAGCCGAGAGAGAGACAAGATGGCTCCTGGAGCCATTTTTTCTTTCTGGAATGGTAACCACTGAGAGACTTACTGGTTCTGGGCACCTGAGGGAATCTCTAATTACTAGCAGACCAAGCTGACGTCAGTGGTCATACTGTACGAACAACAGAGAGTTCAGAAAAATCACTTAACAACAAATAGCAATAAACCCTAGAGAAAAGGGAAAATCTGATTTTTAGTTATTACATTTATTTTAAAAGTCAAGTTTTCAACAACAAAAGAATTAAAACATAAACAAGGGCAGTTATCTTCAGAAGAGTTTCTTAGTCTTTTTTCCATTCTCTTATGTGAGACAGAAAAGCTGGAGGGACTGGGGTTGTGTTACTGTCTTTCCTCAAGGTCGGATGAGGATCTGGTCAAGTTTTCTTTAGGGCAGGTCTTTCTCACAAAAAGTAGGTTGCTCTGGCATATTTCAAAATGGTCTGGCCTTTAAGTCGTCAATCTGACACTGAAGTCAGTGACCATGTTTTATTAATTTTTGTAACTTGCAAAGTGCTTTATAGCCATACTGCTAAATTAATATGACTTTAATCTCTTTTCTGTCTCTTCAACTGACCACTTACAGCTTCATAACATGTACCAACAAACAGACTGTCAAACTGATCTTTATTCTTTTGGGGGTAATTTTTATATTGTAATTTCCATACAAAAATGCTAATGTTTCACTAATGTTTTAAAAACTTTTTTTTTTCCCAGAAATTCACTGGCAATCCACCAGTTAGGACTTAGTACTTTCTCTTCCATGGCATGGGTTCAATCCCTGGCCAGGGAACTAAGATCCCACAAGTTGTGTGGCCAAAAAAGAAAAGAATACCTGAAATGTAGAAGCTTTTTTTCCATATTTGTTTTCATTTGTTTGGGATTTGTTTACACCTTTCAGATTTACTCTACCAGGAAAATGGGTATAGTTTTAATTTACAACTAATATTTGACTGCTTCTTTTCAATCTTATGAATTGATAGCTTGAGTAAAAAGAATTTTTGTGCTCCTCATGCCTATATCAAACTGTTCCTATATCAATATATTTTACTTTAAGTTAATATTAGCCAGAAAATATTCAGCTTTCTGGTCATTCTCTCCAACCTGTGGGGAAGCCAAAACTTCAATATAATCTTCAGAATCAGAATATGCAAGAAGGAGCCCCTTCATTAGATGCAAAAGGAAAAGTAACAGGAGAGAAGATGTGCTCTGAGATGATTATCCTGGGATCTTTGATCTTGGTACCTCTACACCCATCTTTTTTTTTCTTCCTCCATTTATTTTTATTAGTTGGAGGCATCTTTAAGGAAAAGTCTTTTTAAGTCCCTGCCGCCTGGAACCAAGTTCATTGTATTCCTCACTCTACTACATCTCAGGACCACCTGGAATCTGTTGTCTAGGGTTGCCATGGACACAGGATTCTTATTCTAGTACTGCCTTGTTAGCAGCAGCAGGTAAAGACCTAGGGTGGGGGCCTCTGGCTAAGGACGTCCCATCACACCCTCTGCCCTTTATGTAGCTAATGCCGCCCTTTCACCCTCACAGAGTAAGAAGAGTAGAACATTTTACAGGGACAGATGGAGGGTGACGGGGGGGAGGAAGGATCTGGAGAAGGGTCAGGATGGGGGTCTTTGGGCCCACTGACAGGAAGGCTTGCCTTGTGCTTAGCTGTGGGGAACACTAATTAGCATTCCTCTCCCCTCCCAGGGCATTTGCGGAGCACCCATCTCACCCTCAGGGGTCATGGGCGTGGAGGGAGTGGGGGTACTAGTCTTCTGTAGGAGCAACTAACGGTAACTTTGTGGCTGGCCAGGAATTGGGCTGAGATTGGACTTACCACACTTGATCTGGGGACATTAAAAAAATAGGAAAGAATGGAAAAAAGGATGGGGGCGGGGGAGGCATTATCCTGAAAGGCAGCAGGAGAGAAAATTGCTACCAGGATCTTGAGTCAAGTTTGCTCCTGCTTAGGAAAAGTACCCAAGTCACAAAATGCTCCCCACCGCCCCGCAGCCCCAGCTCCGTCCCAGACGCAGCGCCTCCGCTAAAGCAGCCTCGCCTGAAGGTAAGCAGATGCCGCGCCAGCAGGAATGGGGGTGGCCCCCCAGGACCAGGCTGGCTCTCCAGTTGCCATCTGGGCTCTCGGGGCCACAGCGTCCAAACTTTGGGCTTCATACTCCCACTGCGCATGAGCTAGTGTCCCTCAAATGTTTGGAGTTCACAGATGGCTGGACCCCAAGCCTCAAAATCAACATTGATGCACAAACTGGTCTGTTGTGGGGGAAAATTTTTATTTGTTTATTTTTCTCTCTTTGCCCAGAATTGAGGGGCTTGTGGCTCATTTCTGCTTGCCTCAGGTGGACATAATATTACTACTTGTTAACTTAACTATGTATTAATACTTGGCAGTGCTTTTATCCTGTGACTTACAGTTTTTGTGCATGAAGTCTGCCCTGTGAAATGCTGAGGATCGCATTTTTTTGCTTTCTCATTCCTGTGATTTATTCTACAGAGAATATTCTAGGATGGAAATATAAGTCACTCTGATGTAAAATTGGTTTGAAATGGTTTTGTTTCACTTTCTGGGTCCTGGTTCGCAAGTGGGTAATTTTTTTTAAAGAGTCCTGTGCTTGAGCTCCAATACTTTGGCCACCTGATGCGAAGAACTGACTCATTGGAAAAGATCCTGATGCTGGGAACAATTGAAGGCAGGAGGAGACGGGGACAACAGAGGATGAGATGGTTGGATGGCATCACTGACTCAATGGACATGAGTTTGTGATAGACAGGGAAGCCTGACATGCTGCAGTCCATGGGGTCGCAAAGAGTCGGACATGACCGAGCAACTGAATTGAACTGCGCTTGAGCTAAACTTAAATTTTATTGAACGCTCACAAAATGTTTCCCTCTATTTTTTGAACTAAAATTCTAGGGGCAAATGCACAATGCATGTTTCACAGGATATATAGAATTCCACAGTATTGCAGATTTTGTATTTGTGGATTCAAAACTTCAGAAATGCTGATCCTTACCTAGTAAGTCCTATGTGTGACTCTTTCCAACTGGGGGGATATCATATGTGTTTTAAACATATCAAATATATAATGCATGTGTGCTTTTGCTTTTCTTAGATTAACTGCAGATTAAATTCAACCTTGAAACAGACCATGCAGGGATTAAAGAAGAGTTCTTTATATGCCTGGCTCATGCATCCAAAAAATAAGTAAGTGATAAGATTCAAATTTGCTGAATTTTAAGCATAATTTTCAGCCCTTAATAGAAAAGGGAATGTACCTGTACCTTCCTTTATAATAAATGTAAACTGTATGCAAATGAATTGGCAAATTCAAAATTTAAAGACCTTGTTGTATGACTGTAATTTCCTTAAAAATACCACAGCTTAAGCAGTGTACCAGTAATAATACACACATGACAGCCATAGTCCCTGTAAACTTCTTCTCTAGGGGTGACTGGTTGCCTTAATGGAGGAGGTTCTGTCTAGGGTGGTGAACATTTCCAGGACGGCCACAACAAGGGCTTCAGTTGTTCCATCTCCATTAAAACCTGAAACATTGCTAATTCCTGTGAATGTGTTTTTATTAGTGAGATTTTCAAATCAGCTTAATGGATGTTGGAAATACACAAATTTTTGAGATCAATGAATTATAACTATTGGTAAAAAATAGTAACTATCTCAAGAGATGTATTGAGGACCAGTTGCCAGTAGTATTTGGGAAGTATCAGCAAAATGCCTGGCACTTTTTAGTCAATACCATTTAAATATTTGTAAAGTGAACATTGGGATTACAATTCAGCAATTACAAGTAGACTGCATCCATGTTATGTCATGGGTGAGCCTCCAACATTTTGTGAAGTGAAATGAAGTCAGATACAAGAGACTGTATATTGTGTGATTCCACTTATATGAAATGTCTAGGAAAAACAAATCCATGGAGACAAAGTAGATTCACAGTTGGCTAGGGGTGGGAACATGATTAATTTATAAATGAACATAAGGGATCTCATTGTGGGGATGAAAATGTTCTATAATTGATTAAACCCCTGGATTGTACATTTGGGGGAAAAAATGTAACGTGAAAGATAATTTCTTGGCATAATTTGGGGAAATTTATCTTTATTTTTTCTCAGCCTTTTCTGTTCCATGTTTTCTCATTCTCAGATGTCTGTATTCCAGATGTTAGATATGGAGGATAAGAACATATCCATTGACATTCTGTTTATTCTTTTCTACTATTTTATGGGAATTCCTCAACCTCACTTTCCAACTTTATTTTGCTTTTCACATGTACTCAAACTACTTTATATCCCACAAACGGATTCTTTATATCCAACAATTCTACTTCTACACTTAACATTTCCTCTTGGGTTTTTTCTTTCTTTTATTTAATAATTTTATTTATTTTTGACTGCACTGGGTCTTTGCTGCTACTCAGGCTTTCTTAGTTACAGTGAGCAGGGCCTACTCTCTAGTTGCAGCGCATGGGCTTCCCATTGCAGTGGCTCCTCTTGTTGCAGAGCACAGGCTCTGAGGCACAGGCTCAATCGTTGTGGCACATGGGCTTAGTTGCTCCGTGGCGTGTTGAACCTTCCTGGAGTTTGCTCAAATTCATGTCCACTGAGTCAAGGATACTATCTAAGCATCTCATCCTCTGCTGTCTGCTTCTCCTTTTGCCTTCAATCTTTCCCAGCATCAGGGTCTTTTCCAATGAGTTGGCCCTTAGTACCATGTAGCCCAAGTATTAGAGCTTCAGCTTCAGCCTCAGTCCTTCCAATGAATATTCAGGCTTGATTTCCTTTAGGATTGACTGGTTGGATCTCCTTGCAGTCCAAGGAATTCTCAAGAGTCTTCTGCAGCACCACAGTTCGAAAGCATCAATTCATACCGTCACCTTTAAGCTCTGGGCAAGGAAACTTTGGAGAAGGCAGTCACCCTAGGTTGTCATTTGGAGCTTTGGAGATGGAAGGGAGGTGGAGGGGAGGATGAAGTAGTGCTCTTCGGCCCCTCCCTGTTTTCATCAGCTAACCTAATGTTACCCTCTTTTGATTTTTCTTTTTAACACTTTTGCCTATTTATTTATGGCTGCGTTGGGTCTTGTTGCACTCCGGCTTTCTCTAGTTGAAGTGGGGGGTGGGGGCGGTGTGGGGGCCGTTTTTCCCTGGCTGTGTGCAGGTTTCTCACCGCAGTGGCTTCTTAAGCTGCGGAGTTCAGGATCAGTAGTTGTGGTGCACAGGCTTAGTTGCTCCAAGGCATGTAGGATCTTCCCAGACCAGGATCAAACCTGTGTCCCCTGCATTGGCAGGTGGATTCTTAACCACTGGACCACCAGGAAAGCCCTGCTACCCTCGTTTTATATTAACAACACCTGGGTAACTGCTACTGGTTTCTGAGAAGGCATTTATTGTCTCCAAGCAACTCAAGGGAAACACATGAACTGAACTTAAAATTTCCCCTCCCACTGGGCTACTCCAGACTGCCCCTGTCTGTCCACCAGCTAAGGCACTCCTTAGCCTTCCAGAGTTTGTGTTATTTCTTGGAATCCATACTTTCATTTGACTTTGGTATCAGTAGTTTTGGGCTATTTCTCATCTTGGGTAGAAACCCACCATTTCCCAGGGAATTACGGCAGTATTATTACTTTAGAATCTTGAGGTGTTTTTGAAATTTAAAATATATACTGAGTTTTTGGACATTACATTTGAAGAAGGTAGGCTGCCTAAAAACCAATATTTGTGAAATGGTGATTATTCAGTATGATTTTCTGAAGTTGATGGATGCAAAGTGCATTTTCATGTGTCTTATTTTACACATGAGGAAATTGAGTCAGAAAGAGATTAAATTAATAAAGCCAGTGATTTGGTGGTGGGGAGTCTTGATGTTGGATAATATAACCAGGTATCTTTTTGGAATAATTCAGAGAAGAATAAAAAGGAATCATTATAAATATGCTCTACTTTCAGTTCAGAAAAAAAATTAAAGTCTTATATAGGCCATCCTTGACCTGCTTACCTGTTTCTTCTCTACCAAATGATGAGGAGTATTTGTCATTCTGGCATTTTCTTTTCTTTTTTTTTCCTGTATCCCTTTATTAGTTATCAACTGGACCCATCTCCCCATTCCTACACTCTCAGCTTTTTATGGTTTCCCAGAGTGATTCCCAAGTGTGTGAATGGTTTGCGAAATGGGTAAGAAAGATTTAATGATTAATGCTATACCTCCCTTCTTTCCTTCTCTTTCTAGTATATTCACAAGCACACACAGCCCAGATGTGGTCTCAAGAAATCCAGTGTTGTACCCTGAAACTGTTTCTTCAATTTTTACCATATTCATGATTTTACATTTCATGTCCTGAAATTCTATTGGAAAGAAGAAACTAATTGCCTTCCATACTGTCTGACTTTATATTTTTGTATGTTTTTTTCACTCTGGCAGAGTTATGGATGCCTCTTTAGGCTCCTCTGACAACGCTGACAAGAGGTGCGTGATGTGGGTGGTGAAAAGGTATTGGGAATGTTGAAGGCCAAGGAAGGTTTCTTTTCATAAAAGACTGGATGTTCTTATAAGTAACTTTATTTAGGGGTCTAGATGGGAAAAAAGAGATCATAAGTGGGAGAATCCTTACTCATAGTCTGTTTGTGACCCTGATTAACTGGTAGCCAAAACTCTTGGGAAACTAAAAGAACGTGTGGGAGAGACTCTGCTACAGAGCGCCAGGGCAGGAGGAAGGAGGAGGCAGAAAGGAGCAAACCCTAATAGATCTTGGTGCTAGCCCCCACCCTCCAGGGTTCTGCTCCCATCTAAAGCTGGTGTCCCAACTCTATACCCACTGTCATGTTGGAGAGTCCCTGCCCCAGGCTTGTAGCTCTGTAAACCAAACTGAGGGAAGGACTACAGGATACGAAAAAAGTAAGGATGCAGAGGTGGGACTTGATAATCAGGAACTTAGAAGGGGCTGGAAGATAGTAGACCTGCACACTGAAGTTGAATTTTAAGTAAACGCAACCTTGATGCAGTTGGACATGGAGTTAGGTTTAAAGGTTAAGAATTGTACTTTGCCAGGCTGCTTAGACAGCCCTAAGGTCTCATTACAACTATAATAAAGCCCTGTTTGTAGTGAAAATTGAAATACTGATTGCCAAATAACTAACTTTCAAACAGATCTTTAGAGTTAAAAACCAGTTTACAAATTGAAGACTATTTGTAACTAGTTAACTCTATGAAGTCATTTCGAATTTGATGGTATGCTTTTAATTCCTTAGAGATAACTCAGTTGAACTGACATCAGGAACCTATGAGGACACCATCTATGAAAGGTGAGATATTTATTGAGGGGTGAGGGTTCCAGGAGGATGGGGTGGAGATGTTTAGTCTTGGGATTATCCATGGCAATGAAGAATTTTCTGGCCAATGATCTAGAATTCTTTCTATAAAGATGGGAATTTCAGTAAGTTATGTTTATTATGTATTTTAGATTCGAGGAATCTTTATTCAGATAAATTAATTATATCACTATTCCATATAGACTATCATTAATGAGATGTTTCTCTATCTATTGGTATTTAAAGTAAAATAGAGCAATTCTTCTTGATGGTGGTAATGAAGATGTTAACTTCCATGAAAGTGTTAGTCACTTGTGTCCAACCCTTTGTGACCCCGTTGACTTGCCAGTCTCCTCTGTCCATGGAATTCTCTGGGCAAGAATACTGGTGTGGGTCACCATTCCTTTCTTCCCTTCTCCAGGGGATCTTCCCAACTCAATGATCAAACCTTGGTATCCCACATTGTGGGCGGAATCTTTACCATCTGAGCCACCAGGGAAGCCCCTAACTTTGGTAATTCATAGGAATAAGTCAGTGTGAAGTTTTGAAGGGAGGGAACTGTTGGTGGATATCATCACTGGGGAGATAGGGTTTATGCTGAGGCAAGAAGAAAAGGGATAACTATGGAGAATAAAGATAGTGGCTCTGAACAGCACCTTCAATCAACTGCATCCAATTGACATTTATAGACTAGCTCGTTTAACAAGAGCAGAGAATGTTGGGTTGGCTCTGAAGTTCATTCAGATTTTCCCATAACAGCCTATGGAAAAGCCTGAACAAATTTTTTTGCCAACTCAATATATTCTTCTTAAGCTCACATGAAACGTTCACCAATATAGATCACATTCTGGGACATGAAACCCACCTTAGCAAATTTAAAAGAAGAGGAATCACAAAATTTGCTGTCAGACCACAGTGAAGTTAGAAGTCGGTAACAGAAAGATAGTTTGCAAGTTCCCAAATTCTTGGAGGTTAAACAGCATAGTTCTCAATAATACATGGGTCACAGCAGAAGTCTCATGAGAAATTTTAGAATATTTTGAACTAAATGAAAGTATGAGCTATCAAAATTTGTGAAATGCAGCAAAACCAGTAATTAGGGGTAAATTTATAGCCTGAATTCATATATTAAAAAAGAAGAAAGATCTAAAATCAATAAGCTTCCAGCATAGGAAACAAAGAAGACCAGTATAAACCTAAAAAAAGCAGGAGGAGATAATAAAAGAGCAGAAATCAATGAAACTGGAATCAAAAAAGCAATAGAGAATATCAACAAAGCCAAAAGCTGGTTCTTTGAAAAGCAATAAAGTTTGCATCTCTTTGGCCAGACTAACAGAAACAAGAGACAGAAGATACAAATTGCTGTTCTCAGAAATGAAATGAAGATCATCAAGACTGATCACAGGACATTGAAAGGATAATAAAGGAATATTATGAACAACTCCAAACCCACGAAGTTGATGACTTACATGAAATGGAGTAATGCTTTAAAAGATACTATCAAAGCTCATAAAAAGATCATCTGAATAGGCCTGAATCTGTTAAAGAAATTGAATCAGTGACTAAACCTTCCATAACAGACCCTAGGCCTAGGTGGATTCACTGGTCAATTCCACCAAACATTCAAGGAAGAAATGATGTCAGTTTTCTAAACTGTTCCAGAAAGTAGAAGCACAGAGAGAAAATTTAACTCATTGTCTAAAGTCAGCATTACCAAAACCAGATAAGAACATTACAAAAAAAAAAAGCATAGGACATAAGAGGCAAAAATCCTTAAACAAAATGTTACCAAGTTGAATCCTACAATGTAAATAAAAAATTTTATACCCAGATCAAGTGGGACTTGGATGGACAAGGCTGGTTCAACATTTGAAAGTCAGTCAATGTAATCCATCACATCAACAGGCTAAAAAGAAAAAATGATTGATGCAGAAAAAGCATTTGACAAAATCTAACACTCATGATTAAAAAAAAAACAAAAACCTCTCAGCAAACTAGGAATAGAGAAGAATATTCTCAACTTGATAAAAAACAAATAGCCATAAAACCCCTACAGGTAGCATCATCTGTGATGGTGAGAAACTTGAAACTTTTCTGCAGAGACAGGTACAAGGCAAGGACGCTCCATGCCCCATCACTCCTTTTCAACATCATACTCAAAATTCCAAGGAGGATTATAGTAATGAGCAATGAGAAGGAAATCAAAGGATGCACGAAGGAATGGAAACAAATGTCTTTGTTCAGAGATGACATGATTGTCTATGAAGAAAAATCCAAAAGAATTGATTAAAAAACTTCTGGGCCTAATAAGCTTATGTCCTATAATCTTGTCTAACTGCTTTAATATATTGATACAAAAACTGATTACTTTCCCATATACCAGTAACAAACAAGTGGAATTTGAAATTAAAAGTAGAGAACCATTTAAATTAGGATCCCCCAAATAGATTTATACCTAAATATATATTTACCCAGGAAAATGTACAAGATGTATATGAAGAGAACGATAAAGGAAGTCTCAATATTGTAAAGATGCTGATTCTTCCAATTTGTAGATTCAATGCAATCTGAATCAAAATCCCAGAAAGTTACTTTTGGGGTATTGGCAAAATGATTCTAAAGTTTATATGGGAAGGCAAAAGACTCAGAATAGCTTCCACACATTGAAGAGTAACGTCAGAGGACAGACAATACCAACTTAAGTCTTAATATTAAACTATGATAATCAAGACAGTATGATGATGGTTAAAGGAAGTCTAGAGTTACATGTGGTGTGTGAACCATGTATCTTTTTTTTTAGTTTTTTTAAATTTTTTTTTTAACGGAAGGATAATTGCTTTACAATATTGTGTTGGTTTCTGTCATACATCAACATGAATCAGTGATAGGTGTATATATTTCCCCTCCCTCTTGAACCACCCCATTCCAACCCTCTAGGCTGTCACAGAGCACTGGGTTTGAGCTCCCTGAGTCACAGCAAGTTCCCACTGGCTGTGTATTTTACATGTGGCCATGCCACTCTCTCAATTTGTTCCACCCTCTCCTTCCTCTTTGTGTCCACAAGTCTGCTCTCTATGTCGGCATCTCCACTGCTGCCCTGAAAATACTGTGAACCATGTATCTTTTTAATCCTTTAGCACTGCCCTGAATGAATGGACATCAGAAACCTAGGAGGCTGCCACCAATGAAACATGAAATATTAATGAATTTTAAAGATAAATACATTGTGTATGTACATGTATACACATATTTATATACTCATACCAATACAAACACAAATATATATATATATAAACACAAATATGATAGAAAAAGAGGTGAGATTTTCAAATTCATTCTTAGGAGTATCTATGACTAGGTGTTTTTGACATTGTTATTAAATCTTCTCACTGTAACACCTATTGGTAACTTTCTGTCTTTCTTGAATCTAGTTGAATAAAGGAGGAGCAGGTCATAAGAGGAATCCTTCCTCCTAGTAACTGCTAGCCATTTCTTGAGTCATTAACTTTTTTGACAGGTCAAATATATTCATTACAAATGTATATAGAATCATGTCTAGGAAAAATGAGATATCAGATTCCAAATAACTGGTTTACATGTGAATTTTCTAAATTTCTAAGAGTTACCCAGTTTATAAGTTCAAGGGCAATTATAGCCAACCTGACCTAAAAGTAGTTGCAGTCTAGAAGTCTTGTGGCATCTTATTTTGTCTGTTTTTAATCCTTTAGTATTGCCCCGAGTGTATGGACAACAGCATCCTCTGAAGTACTCTCCAATGCAAAGTGAGTCATGATGAATAAATATGTATGTAATATGCACACACACATACATTCATAATACACGTATACAGAGAGGTTGAGATTTGGATGTTCACCTTTAGGAACATCCATGGGAATACAGAGTTCCCTTGATACTGTTTCTGAAGTTCTCTCATGGTAAGATTCTATATCTAACATTCTTTGTCTTTAAAGAAAATCTTTTTTTAAATTTTAACTGGAGAATAATTACTTTACAATATTGTGTTGGTTTCTGCCATACATCAACATGAATCAGCCATATGTATACATATGTCCCCTCGCTCTTAAACCTCCCTCCCACCTGTCTTTTGAAGTAGGAAGAAGATGGACGGGTCATAAAGGGGGTCTTTTTAAAATTTTTATTTTTATTTTTGGCTGCACTGGGTCTTTGTCGCTGGGCAGGGGCTTTGCTCTAGCTGTGGTGAACAGGGGCTACTCTTCATTTCAGCCACAGGCTTCTCACTGCAGTGCCTTCTCATTGTGGAGCACGGGCTCGAGTGTGCATGGGCTTAGGAGTTGTGGAACGCGGGTTTAGTTGCTCAGCAGTTTTTGGGATTGTCCCAGATCAGGGATTGAACCCGTGTCCTCTGCATTGACAGGCGTATTCTTAACCACTGGAACACCAGGGAAGTCCCAGAGGGGGTCTTTTATATTCTAATGTTTTTACCATGAGTGACACTCTATGAGACTGGGTAAGGGAGAAGAGCAACCTCGTCAAGTAAGGAGGAAATCGTTGTGGACAGGGAGCAGAGGAATCTCCAGCAAAAGAATGGAGCTAATAGAACACAGATTGTCCATGCCCCTCCAGAGCTTTTCACCATGTGAAGCTGGCACCCCGAACCCAAACTTACATCACATGGAAAGGACCCCTGATTTAGGCCTGCAGTTAATCTACAGTGTCTGAGGGCCAGGAAAGACAACCATGATAGGTGGGAGTTAGAGGGTGACGAAGAGACTTGAGAAACAGGAAATTATGTGGAGGACAAGGGATATGTACTTGCAAATTGAAGTTGAACTTGAAATAAGTACCACCCCAAAAGGTTGCTGTACATTGGGTTAGATTCAGTAGTAAAGAAATGCACGTATTCTTGAGTCATTAACTGTTTTGATAGGTCAAAAATATTTATTACCAACTATATAGAATCAACTATATAGAATATATATACCAACTATATAGAATAGGGAAAATGAGATATCAGATTCCAAAGAACTGATTTATATGCATATTTCCTATGAGCCAGCCAGTTTATAAGTTCAAGAGTAACTGGCAGATTTGAGCTAAAAAAGTAAAAGTCTGGAAGTCATATGGTATCTTACTATATCTGTTTTTCATCCTTTAGCACTGCCCTGAGTGAAATGACAGCAGCATCATCTGCAAGATTCCAAATGGCAAAGTGAGATACGATAAATGCATATATAATATGTACACACATATGCACATACATGCATAATATATCTTAATTATAATATATCTCTCTCAACACAAGTTAAGATTTGCGATGCTCACCCTTTGAAGCACCCATGGGGGTAATAGAGTTCCCTTGATACTGTTTCTAATATGCTCTCATGATGAGATTCTATGTGGAATATTCTTTGTCTTTTATTTAAAAAATTATTTATTTATTTTTTGACTGTGCTGGGTCTTCGTTGCTGCTTGCGGGCTTTCTCTAATTACTGCCAGCAGGAGCCACTCTTTACTGTGGTGTGCAGGCTTCTCATTGCAGTGGCTTCTTTTATTGCGGAGCACAGACTCTAGGGCACGCGGGCTTCAGTAGTTGTGACTCATGGGCTTGGCTGCTCCAAGACATGTGCGATCTTCCTGGACCGGGGTAGAACCCGTGTCCCCTGCATTGGCAGGCAGACTCTTATCCACTGCACCACCGGGGAAGTCCCTATTCTTTGTCTTTTGAAATGAAGTAGAAAAAGAGACACAAGACATAGAGGGAGTATTCTTACTCCCGGTCTTAACATCTCAGTTACTAGCAGCCAGAGTCTTGGGAAACTATCAGATTGCCCATGTCTGAAACTCTGAGGGAGTAGGTTAGGGGAAGAGAAAAACCTGTCTGGAGCAAGGAGGATAATAGTAAATTGTAAATAGTAAGTAAAAGAGTAATAGTGTGGACAGGGAGCAGAAGTGGCCTCAACAGAAAAGAGTGGAGCTAATAGACCCAGATCTGTCCCTTAGCATCCAGATTCAGCCACCATGTGAGGCTGATAAAGCAAATCCAAGCCCATGATCGCTTTAGATGGAGACTCTGACTCAGACCTGTGGTTACTTGACTGTATCTCGGGGCAGGAAAAACCAGCGTGTTTCCTACAGAACACAGACATGGTCAGGAAGTTAGGTTGGTCAAGAAAGATGGGTACCTACAAAATGAATCTGAGATAAATTCCACCCCCAAAGGCTGTTATACATTGGGTCAGGTTCAATAATAAAGAACTGAACTTAAATCTTGAGTCGTTACCTTTTTAAGAGGTTTAAGATATTCGTCGTTGTTTAGTTGCTGAATCCAACTCTTTTGCAGCCCCATGAACTTAACCTGTCAGACTCCTCTGTCCACGGAATTTCCCAGGCAAGAATACTGGAGTGGGTTGCCAATTCCTTCTCTAGGAGATCTTCCTGACCCAGGGATTGAACCCTTGTCTCCTGCATTGCAGACAGATTCTTTACGGCTGAGCCATCAGGGGAGCCCTATTAAATATATATGGCTTTTCATAAAGCCTCATTTCTGCGGAAAATGACGTACCAGTTCTCAAATAATAGATTTACACACTGGTTTTTAAAGGGTCATATAGTTTATAAGTTAAAGCATAATTTAATGTGAACCAAAAAGTTTAATCTGGAAAATTACTTGGTATCTGACTATGTACCTTTTTAATCCTTCAGCACTACCTTGACTGAATTGACAGCAGGAAAACCTACCACTGATGGACCTACCACTGAAATGTGAGATAGAAACAAAGACAGGTTTAAACAAACGTGTTTAAAAAAACACATAAATGCAAAAAAAAAAAAAAACAAAACCACCACCACCACATAAATGCAGAGAGCAAGCACCTGGGAGGGAGAGAAACACGGGAAAGGGGAGAGAGGTTGCTATTTGAGAGGTTCATTTTTAGGAGTATTCATGATATAACAGCCTTTTTGACATTATTTCTGAAGCTTTTTGCTGTAGCCTATGTAAGTATCCTTATCTTTTAAAAAATCTTGTTGGATAAAAGAGAAACAGGTCATAAAACACAGATGCTTCTTAATCATCTGTTTCTCTCTTGTTTTGTCGCTAAGTTGTATTTCTTTTGCGACACCATGGACTGTAGCCCGCCAGGCTCCTCTGTCCATGGGATTTTCCGGGCAAGAATCCTGGAGTGGGTAGCCTTTCCCTTCTCCAAGGATTGGAGATTGAAGCCATATCTCCTGCATTGGAGGGCGGACTCTTTACCACTGAGCCACCATGGAAGCCACTTCTCTCTCTCAGGAGCAGTCAAACCCCCTAGGAAGCTATCCAAATGCCTGTGTGAGAAGCTCTACTAAAGCGGGCCAATAAAGGAGAGAAACTTATTTTGAAGCAAGGAGAAGGCTGTACTTCTGAAGGGGCTCAGGTGTCAAGATATGCCCATAAACTTGATCCATTCCCTGCCCCACAGGACTAAGATTTTCATTATAATCATATAAAGCCTGGTTTACAGGTTTCAAGTGGCTGATTAGAATGTTATTTTGGGGACAACGAGGTTTTAAATTGTAGAGTATACGTGTGTGTGTGCGCTCAGCTGTGTAGGACTCTTTGCAACCCCATGGACTGTAGTCCGTCATGTTACACTGTTCCTGGGGTTCTCCAGACAAGAATACTAGAGGGGGTTGCCATTTCCTTCTCCAGGGGATCTTTCTGACCCAGGGATCGAACCCATGTCTTCTGTATTGGTGGGTGGACTCTTTACCACTGGGCCACCTGGGAAGCCCAAATTGTAGATTAATTGTAGGTAATCTGCAGACCCCTGGGTTGGAAAGATATGCTGGAGAAAGAAATGGCAACCCACTCCAGTATTCTTATCTGGAGAATGCCATGGATGGAGGAGCCTGGTGGTCTATAGTCCATGGGATTGGTGCAGAGTCGGACAAAACTGAGTGACTAAGTCTACTATTCTTTCTGTAGTTAATTTGCATTTAAAAATAAGTCTAGGGAGACATGTAAAGTCTTACTGTGTGCATTTATAATCCTTTAGCTGTGACCAGAGCAAGGTGAAAAAAGTAACTTATGCTGAACCCTTCAATGAAAGGTGAGAGATATATATAGATAAGAGTAAGGGGGAGGATATTGAGATTTGTGAAATTTATTCTGAGAAGCAGCTACTGGTAATACAGAGTTAACAGGACACTTTAGCTAAGATTTTTGTTTGTTTTTCCAGCCTCAACATGCTGCTTTCTTTTTTGGATCTATTTGGGGGAAAATAAACAGGTCATAAAAGGAGTCTGCTTACTGCTAGTCTGTTTTGTTACCCTTAGTTAGGAGCAGCCACAACCCCGAGGAAAGTATCAGATTGCCCATGCATGGGCTGGGAGAGGACAGGAGAAGGTCTTGGTGGACAGAGAGCAGAGGGGAGCCCATAGCAGGAAAAAGATGTATCTCATAGGTCCTGAATATGTCGCTCACCTTCCAGAGCTCTGCCTCTATGTGAGGCTGGTAACCCAAACTCACCGTTACACTGGAGGGAGGCCCTGCCTTGTCTTGACCGTATCTCAAGGGCTGGAAAGACATCTATGATTCATGAGGGGTTACTGGACAGTGTAGGGACTTGAGAAGGCAGAAAATTATAGAACCAGTGAGATGAGTACCTACAAACCGAAGGTGAATTTTGAAGCAAATTTATCACAAAATGGTGTTATACTTGGGGATTGGGATCAGGAGTAAAGTACATACTTTTGATGTATTAAGTTTTCCCACATGACTAGGATTTTTCATTACTGATATTTCATTTCTACAGAAAAATACCAGGTTTTAAATAATTGATTAAAATGCTATTTTTCAGATAACTAGACTACCAATTGCAGAGTAATTATAGCTAATTTGTATTTAAAAAGCTATAAAACATATGGAGTCTTACTTTGTACATTTTAATCCTTTAGCTCTGACTTGTGTAACTTGAGAGGCACTGATGAAAGGTAAGATACAACTGGGGGAAATGGGAAGGAGGACGTTGGAATTCATGAAACCCAATTAGTCAGAGTCCCCATCTCAGGCAGTCTCCTAATTCCAGGAGAAAGCAAGATATCCATAATATGTGAAAAGTAGGTGGTGCAGGGACCCAGGTTCCAAATAACTAATTAACTTATACACATTAGAGTTTAACCAGTTTTTAACCGGAGTTTAACCAGTTCCAGAGCGAGTGTATCCAATTTCAGCCAAAAAAGTTAAATCATTTGATGCCAGGTTCATTTTTAACCTTTTATATTGACCTGAATAAATTGACATGAAAGGTCTTTGACTACTTTGACATAGCTTCTCTTTCAATGACAGTGCCATCCAAGACTGTTCAGATCATTTACTTGGGTCAGTGCTATCGAGAGAGTATTAATCTCTCAGTCTATATAGAAAAAGTGAGAAAGGCAGAGATTTATACAGGCTTACAGAGACAGAGGGAGAAATACAGATTTGCAAAATTCCGTCTCGGAAGGATTCATAGGAATACAGAATTTTCTAGACAATAATTCTACATTTCTTTCTGTAAGGTTGGGTCTTCCAGTGAGCTAAGTCATGTCGACTACCTTTTAGATTTAAGGAATTCTTTTTGTTCAAGTAAATTTCTCATATCACTGTTCCATGCAGCAGGTCTCTAATGATGTATTTTTGCCTTTGTTGGTGGTTGAAGTATAATAGAAGAGCTGTCCAAGATTAGTGATGTTGATGAAGACATTGACTTTCTCAATCCCCAATAGTAAGTCCGTTTGAAGTTTGGAGGGAGGGAGCTGTTGATGAATTTCTTACCTTTTGGAAGATGGGGCTCATGCTAAGGTGATGAGGAAAACTGTGGAAAGATAGCAAAATGTTTTGGAGGGAGGGTATAGAGAATTTGAATTTGCGTATAAGTACCATGCTTGAAAAAGTATTTCTACATATTCATAAGTGGGATATTCTTCTAGTTTTAAAATGTGAACATATTCTTAGTGGATACGAATTGTCCTACAAAATTTCTTAATCCAGGATTGCAGAATGCTACTTACCCTTCAGTTGTGTTCCTTTCTCATTTTTGCTGGGTATGTCCTAATTCCTAATTTTATTGATTTTGTCTATGAGTAAATGGGACTGACAGCAAAAGCAAATGTGTTCTGCTGATTAAAGACCTCTTAATGTGCACTGGGATTTTATTAATTTCGACTTGTTTCTGAGTAATCTCATGAGAGTACTTCCTGTTGCACTCATCTGAAGGAATTTTTTCATCTGTACTCAACTGCAAGGACACATTTTTAAAATCTCATGTGTCTGACTCGGCCTTTCCCCCAAGCTACTATGTATAAAATAAGCAGCAAGGATATATTGTATAGCACAAGGAAATATAGCCATTATTTTGCAGTGGCTTTAAATAGAATACAATCTATAAAATTATTAATCACTATGCTATACACCTGAAAGTAATATAATGTTGTAAATCAATTATACTTCAGTTAAAAAATCCTATATGTCTGGACAGAATTATTCATCGATATTTTTCTTATTATCTCTTGGCCAGTTATTTAACCACTCACCAACTTGAATTTACGGTGGGAAGTGAGTAGCACTAAAGAAGGAATTAACTGGTTACTGGTGCAATCTGTTGGTGTCTAGACAAAGATAAAATGAAAAATAAAGGGGTGACTCGTGAATACAAATAGTCCTTCAACTTACCCATGGATTTCCTTTTTCTGTGTCTTTTTGTCATGGGCCATCAATGAAGAGTTCACTCTGCTACTTAATTAAATGATGTGTCTGGATATTAACTGTATTTTCTGCAATGAGGCTGCCTAGGACTGGGGCAAAATTTGAGGACTGAGCAAGACAAGCATTCCCTTCTTCTTACAAACAAAGTGTTAGTTTGGTTTTTAAATGACAAATGCTTCTTTATAGATTTGTGTGGAATAGTCCCTGATGACTGAGCAACTAATACACGTACACTTTGGCATTTCATATACGCTGGACACTTGGTGAAATATTAAGCCACTTTAAATTTTAGATCATTTATCTGTATAACACCCTGGGTGTTATACAATAAAGCTAAAAATAAAAGTAGAATAAAATGTAAATGCTTTTAAAACTCTGAAGCACCATAAATAAATTTTATACTAAAAACTAAAAGCAACAAAGGTCAATTTTTAGGAAAATCAGAAAATACAGACAAGCAATAAATCCTCCCATAAATAGGCATTCTTTTTTTTCAATAGATGCTCTTTAAGATTCTTTAGGCTTATGAATTATTTATTTATGGATATATGTTGTTTAAAAATAACCTTGTTACTTAGTGATATATCATGAGTATATTTCCATGCATTTGCATTTACACCATTATATGTTTATTGGTTTCTAAACTTGCAACCTTCCTACTGACAGCTGTATAATAATTCACGGTAAATGTTTAAATTGTCATTTATTTAAATTGTTAGATATTTCTGGACACTTAAGCTGTTTAGGACATTTACTATTACAAAAAATGAAGACTAATTTTGAGAGCAAATCTCTGTATATTTTGTTTCTTTAAAGTAAAAATTCTCCTCAGTGGAAGTTCTATGTCAAGGGAAATGTTTGAGGCTATTGATTTCAATGTGCCTTTCCACATGAAGATGCAGTGTACTCTTTTTCTCCCTTCCCACACTAGCTCAATGATCTCTTCAATGTCAGTGAATGTTTGTTCTAATGCTCATTTGACTTTGTTTTTGTTTATACTTATTTTCATAGAAACTTTATTTCATTGTCTTCAGTCTACCTTTGCCCATTTACAATTGGGGTGTTTATCACTGCCATTGGATAGAAAAGTTAAATATATCACTTTTATATCCCAAAAAGTGCAAGTAGCTTTTCCCATTTTGCTTAGATTTTCACTCCATAGAAGTTTTATAATCCTCACACAGTCAAATATATCTATGCCTTTCTTTATTATTTATGCTTTAAGTGTCAGAAAGTCTTTCTCTACCTACGATTCTAATATATTCTCCAAAATTTCATCTGTTTTGAATTTATTTTCTACATTAAAGTAAAACATCTGCCCAGAATTTCTTTTCTATTAAGGTATAAAATGTAGGAATCTCCTTTTCTCCCAGGTGAGTACTTCGTTATCTCAGCATCAAAACTGTCCCTTCTGCCATTGCCCTTGCCCTAATTTAATGATCCTTATTGCACTTATCACCTTATAAAAATAAAAGTAGAATAATATGTAAGTGCTTTTAAAACTCTAAAGCACCGTAAATACATTTTACACTAAAAACCAAAAATCAAACAGCAAAAGTTAATTATTAGGAAAATCAGAAAATATAGACAAGCAATAAATAGGCATTCTTAATTTTTAATAGATGCCCTTCAAGTTTCTTCAGACTTATAAATTTTTTGTTTATGGATATGGTATCATGCTTACATTGTTTTAGAAATATTCTTATTAGTGACATATCATGAATGTATGTATTATATTGTGGTCAGCACAAGACAGAATGCAAACATCCTGATGGAAGAAAATCTTGTCCATTTTAACTGCTGTATCTCTAGTGCTTCCAACGGTGCCATGGCAGATAGTAGGCACTCACTGAGTTTGGTTGAGTGAATGAACCCATTATTGAAAAAAATTTATATCTTGTTCAATGACTTTCAAATCCATCTCTATTATATTCTTTACATTGAGTCTTTCCAGAATCTGTTTTATTTGCATTTTCCAGCCTTTTGAGTTTAGCACACTTTACACATTATGATGTAATTTACAGTGAACCAAAACATTTTTTAAAAACCTAAGTTCCATCTTTTCCTCCTCCCCCTTTCTGATTTTGTTGTCTCAGATGACATCAACCTTTGCTCCCCAAGCCTGGGAAGGGAAGATGAGTGCTGATGGAGAAGGGGGAATTAGAGGGAGTGGGGAGATCTTACCACTGAGCTTAGCCTCAGAGCACCCGTCTGTGGCCCATTTTGCCAGTGCCCCAGTTCTGCTCGGCCTCCGACCCCTCCCTTCACTGCTTCGGGATCAGATCCCACTGGGGGTGGAAATGGGCTCTCATGTGGGCGGCTTTAGCAGGGCAAGAAATTGTTCCCCGATGGCTACCTTGTCTGCTGCCTTATGGTTGGGCTTCCCTTGTGGCTCAGCTGGTAAAGAACCTGCCTGCAATGCAGGGGACCTGGGTTTGATCCCTGGGTTGGGAAGATCCCCTGGAGAAGGGAAAGACTCCTGTATTCTGGCCTGGAGAATTCCATGGACTGTACAGTCCACGGGATTGCAAAGAGTCGGACACGACTGAGCGACTTTGACTTTCTGCCATACGGTAAAATGAAGCCTAATTGCTGGTGCTTTAGAACTGTCTCCTCCTCCTCCTAACGGAAGGAGCCCAGCCTCTAGGGTGTTTCTCCTTTGAAGTGCATCTTATTAAAATTCCTTACCCCCATAGTGCACTTGCCACCCCCAATCTCATTAGTGTTTAACTGTCATATTCATGGGTGGCTTGTGTCAAGAAATAAATATTACAAGAGGAGAGCTTCCCTGAAGTCCCTTATTCTATTGCTATAGAACAGGTCTGGCCATGGTTTGATGACTTGCACAGGATCCCACAGCTTACTCATGGGAGACTGAGCTTATACCATTCCCTTCTGTTTCCATGCTATGTTGCTTTAGTTGATGACCCCAAGCTTAATCTTACCATAAAGTTGGGGTTAGGGCTTTACAGTCAAGAGAAGTGTTGCTAAACATTCAAAGTTCAGTGTTTTATTCACATATATTCTATATAGGAAAGTAAAAGAAAAAATCAGGAAATGTTTTTATGTGTACTTGTGCTCACTTTTTAAGTCATGTCTGATTCTTTGCAACCCCGTGGACTGTAGCCCCAACAGACTCCTCTGTCCATGGGATTTCCCAGGCAAGAATACTAGAGTGGGTTGCCATTTCCTTCTCCAGAGGATCTTCCCGACCCAGGGATTGAACCCGAGTCTCCTGCACTGGCAAGCAGGTTCTCTGCCACTGAGCCACCAGGGAAGGCCATAGTTACTAAAAAGTGTTTTGTTGGGCAATTTCTAGGTGCTTTAAAAATTGTATTTGTCAATATAAAGGCCTTTGTTGGTTAAATTCATACTACATGTTAGGAGAAATCTGATACACTTGAAAAATATCCTGAAAAATAATTTCAGGTAAGCTCTGAAATCTTATTTTTACTTCCATTTGCAGCAGCAAGATAAAGAGAATTGTGTACTTAATTATATCATCCTTCACTTTCAGGTATGTGAGACTCTAGAGATGGAGGTAATTAAGGGTGTATTACATTTAATATAGATATTTTTTATGGCAAAAGATCTGGGAGGGGGAGAGGCACTTCCACTGTCAACATGTTGCTAAATAACCTTTGTACCCCATTTAATGGAATCTAATTTATCTTGGAATTTTAATTGAAGCTGAATATTAAGAATTGTGAAGAAATGGCATTTACCCAAGTCTAATAGTAATGCATTAACATGTCTTTTTCTACCTGTAAAAGTAAAAATAATGAAATATGCATTTCAAAATTCTATAGTTATAAGGAAAGTGTTTTAGTAAATATTCATCTAGAATTACTCGTTAATTCTAGATTCATTTTATTTAGATGGTTCATTTCTACATGATAGTAAGATTTTATACTGTGTTACAGAGTCACACAATATACTTACTTCCTTTTTAAGTAATAACATTTTAATTTGCATTACAATTGTGGAAAAGTGCTTTGAAGTTTATCTTCACAGGTTATATAAATAGTATAATCAACTTATGGACAATGCGTTTAGCATATATAAGAGAAAGGCTTAGGAGGTACTTTAAAATTCAATCATGTATGTATTTATGGAATTGAATTCCTTCTTACATGCCCAGAACCATCCACTAACACATAATCCACAGGCTCCTCTATGTAATTCTCCAAGCAAGAATACTGGAGTGGATTGCCATTCCCTTCTCCATGGGGTCTTCCCAACTCAGGGACTGAACTTGAGTCTCCTGTATTGCAGGCAGATTCCTTTACCACTGAGCCACCAAGGAAGCCCATATTTGTTGGTAATCTCACTGATGATAAGTCTTACTGGTCAAAGTGTTGTGTTTTTTTTTTTAAGGACTTATGTTAGTCATGCTTTCACTTGACTTTTTATTACTAAATTCTATAAAAATATAAAGATTAATGAGGTTTAATTTATTATGAGAAATTGGTAGGAGGCTTCTGAAAGTCTCAAATTTGAAGAGTTTACAAGTGGAGACATGTAATTTTAATGTAGTTTACCTGTTCTGTCTTGGAGTGTCAGTCTGATGTGTCTATTATAAAAGGGCACAATATCATGAAGTGGTTTAGTGGGAAATTTATTTTCCTAATGGCTGCTTCTATTGAGTGAAAACAGAGCCATTTACTTATTTTTTGAAAATAGAAATAATGTGGTTTTTTTTTTAACTTTTTATTTTGTACTGGAGTGTAGCTGATTAGGGCTTCCAAGGTGGCACAGGTGGTAAAGAACACACCTACCAAGGCAGGAGATGTGGGCTTCCCTGGTAGCTCAGACGGTGAAGCGGCTGCCTACAACGCGGGAGACCCGGGTTCAATCGCTGGGTCGGGAAGATCCCCTGGAGAAGGAAATGGCAACCCACTCCAGTATTCTTGCCTGAAAAATCCCATGGACGGAGGATCCTGTTAGGCTACAGTCCATGGGGTCGCAAAGAGTAGGACACGACTGGGCCACTTCACTTCACCAAGGCAGGAGATGTAAGAGACGAAGGTTCCATCCCTGGGTCAGAAAGATCTCTCTGAAGGAGGGCATGGTAACCCACTCTTGTATTCTTGCCTGGAGAATCCCATGGACTGAGGAGCCTGGCTGCAACTCTGCAGCATAGCACAGAGTTGGATACCCTGAAGTGACTTAGCACACACACATAGCCAATTAACAATGTTGCATTTTGTATTGGGGTATAACCAGTTAACAATGTTGTCATAGTTTCAGGTGAACAGTGAAGGGACTCAGTCATACACATACATGTATCCATTTCCTCCCATCCAAGCTGTCACATAACATTGTGCAGAGTTCCCTGTGTTACACAGTAGGTCCTTGTTGGTTATGCATTTTAAACATAGCAGTGTGTATGTATCCAGCCCAAACTCCCTAACTCTCCCTTTCCCCCATCCTACCCCCTCAGTTCAGTTCAGTTGCTCAGTCATGTCCGACTCTGCGACCCCATGGACTATAGCACGCCAGACTTCCCTGTCCATCACCAACTCCCGGAACTTGCTCAAACTCATGTTCATCCAGTCAGTGATGCCATCCAACCATCTCATCCTCTGTCCTCCCCTTCTCCTCCTGCCTTCACTCTTTCCCAGCATCAGGGTCTTTTCCAATGAATTGGTTCTTTGCATCAGGTGGCCGAAATATTAGAATTTCAATTTCAGCATCAGTCCTTCCAATGAATATTCAGGACTGATTTCATTTAGGATGGACTAGTTGGATTTCCTTGCAGTCCAAGGGACTGTCAAGAGTCTTCTCCAACACCACAGTTCAAAAGCATCCTTCCCGCTGGGCAACCATAAGTTCGTTCAGAGTAATTTGAGACTCAAAAGCAGAGCATTTCTCCCTACTAATGAATAGTTTAATTCAGAATAATGACATTTTTATATCAGATCATTGGGCTGAAATTAGTCTGTCCGTGTAAAAATCACTTTATCCTTATTCAGTCTATTTATTTGTTATAGAATATTTGCAATCCTGCTGATCTTTGTGGACATGGCCCTCATCATCAAAGACATAATTTTCTTTAGTGGCACGATATATATTTCTTTGGAATCTCGTTTAATTTCTCTTGCCATTGCTTTATTTTTTTTCATGGATATTTCTCTTCGAGTGTTTATAGAAGGGTAAGTTTTATTAGTTTTTTTAAAAACACATAGAACTATTTTGTACTATAAGAGGCATCCCCAAGTAATTAGCAGGTCAATGCAACCAAATATGCCCCTCTTTGTCAAAATAAATCTCTTTGAGGCATGGAGAAACAAGAGAAATGATAGCCCAAATCCCAATTTCTACTAGATTTTGCTTTAATATTATGGTTGCAACTGGCACTCTAATCTCCAAACCATGTATTCTGGATGGTTCCTTTAACAGATAAAGCTAAAGGGTTTGAAGAATGGGGCCAAGCAGCTAGTATGTCTACATGCACATTATTAAGAGGAATATATATGTGAAGCATAAATATTGGTAGTTTCATAAAGAGTCGAGTGTAAATAAAATCTGTTGTTTAGTCATGTCTGACTCTTTGGGACTCCATGGACTTCAGTATGCCAGGCTTCCTTGTCCTTCACTGTCTCCTGGAATTTGCTCAGATTCATGGCCATTGAGTCAGTGATGCTACCTAACTCTCTCATCCCCTGCCACCCCCTTCTCCTTTTAGCCTTCAATCTTTCCCAGCATCAGCTGACAGTGTATTAAATACTGGGTAATAAATCACCAACAAGTACCTACCTCAGCTGAAATAGAAACTTATGGTAAGGTTCCCGAAGAGCTGAGGGATGCACATCCCAGTGAGGGGGCTCAGGAGAGAGGCAGCGACTGGCTTTCTTGGCCGCCGGCTTCCTGGGAAGGTGGGAATGCAGCCTCGGAGCTGCACTGCTGTGAAGTCAGGGACTCAGTTCCTCAGCCTCACTTCACCAGAACACTTATCTCCTCTCCAGCTGAAGCCTCTGCCCTCAAATCTCTGGGCTTAGGACAGTTGCCCACTCCCAGGTTATCCCCAGCCTAAAAGAGGCTACCCCAGCATTGCAAGAGGCTTTCTCTGGAGCCTCATTGCCCATGGCTGAAGGAGCCAGTGTTGGGGAGGAGGTGCAGACACGAGAAGTTCCCCTCTGCACAGAGGAGGCCACACCAGCCCACTGGGATTCCACTGTGGGGATGAAGCCAGGGATGAGTTTGCTGGCCAAAGCGGTGGACATGTCTCCCTCTCACAGTCTCCTCTTGTGCCCTCCTCACAGTCTGTTTTTCTAGGGCTGTGACATGTTTAGCTTTCATTGCCTGATAGCTCAACCCACCATCTCATCTTTCTCTCCCCTCTGTTGTGAAGATAGTGCTTGCCTTTTTTTCAGTGGTTTGATTATATCTTGTTCACTGGTTTGGTTATACCTCTTACTGTACTTATGTTGCAATATGGATGCTTTTGTCATATGTAAATCTAAAATAATGAATATGAATATTTTTTCTCTTAGTCTGGTAAATGTACTTTCATTCATTAAAGCAGAATTAAGAGGGGGGGATGAGTCAAATAAATTTATCCTCTTAAAATATCCTGATTTCTTTGGGGAAGCATCAGCTTGCATTTTTTTTGTGTTTTTTTTTTTATTATAGGATACAACCATATTTTTCTGATATATTTAACTCCTTAGATGCTGCCATTATTATTGTGACTCTACTGGTTGATATCACTTATCTTTTTTATGATTTTACACTTACTAAAATTTTTCCCAGGTAAGAAACATATCCTTTGTCTCTCAAAGTTTTTCTTTGTAAAAAAAAAAAAAACTAGTATCTGTGACTCTCATTTTATGTAATATTTTTTAAACTCTAAATGTGCTGATTCTGTTCTAAATATGCTGGAAAATGAAATGTTTAGATAAATTTCCACATACTTGTAAATAAAAGGATGGTGGTGTTTAGGGTCCAGCAAAGGGTGGTACCTTCCACTGAATGAAGAAGATGGTGCCTCCAAAAAAAGAAACTGGGGACTTGCCTCTTATCCTAACTTATCCCACTCACTAAGTTTCCACTTGTGAGTCAACCACAGATTTCTCACATGTGAAATTCCTGGGTTTTTCCTATAACCCAGAGAGGACTGGTTTGAGTTGATGCAAAATTTGAGTGACTTCTATGATGATTCTCTAAAAAGGAACAAATGGAACAGAAAACTAGGTGACTTGGGTAGCAACACAGAAGTAGAATTTTTGCAGTATAGTTGACATGATGTAAGCTGAGGTGAAGTTAGAACTGTTAGGGATCAAATAAAAATGTGTGAGAGACCAATGGCTTTTTTCTCTCCTCTTCTTTCTACTGTGGCAGTGAGAAAAAAGAATAAAAGTGTCCTGGGATGTGGCTGTTGGGTGACTCACTAGGCTTATTCCTGAGTCAAATAGTGTACTGCTTTTTTTGCACTCTGGCATCTAAGGACTTTTATTCAGGTCCCAACAAAATTTAATATGATAAGCTTTTGGAGATTATTTTTTTAAATAGCCAAAGCCAGTGTGGTCCTTAGATAGGCAATGTCAGGATCAGTGAAGAGCTTATCAGAAATACAAAAACAATACCACCTCAGGGCCTACTCTCGACCTACTGAATCAGTGTGCATGCTCAAGTTAGAGAAGCACTAGCCCAAACCATCACTTCTCTGCCATCATGTTTCCTCCTGATGGTAGGAGACGCACTTGGAAAGTAACTCAATCTGCTGCTTGTGTGATGTATGTTCACAGCTCAAGTGAGCCTCTGTTACTCATGGGAGTGACAGAGATGAACAGAAATTCTCTTTTGATGGGAAAATTCTTGTCCTAAAACCACTGAAGTTAAATCTATGCATTCTGAGAGTCTATCATGGTTTTTCTTTAAACCAGAGTTTCCTCAACCCAGCACTATTATTTTGATTTTTGAATTAAAAAAATTTTTTTTTAAATTTTTGACCATGTAGGTTAGTTCTCTAACCAGGAGTTGAACCCAAGCTCCCCTGCAGTGAAAGCACAGAGTTTTTTTTTTTTTTCCCATTTATTTTTATTAGTTGGAGGCTAATTACTTTACAACATTGCAGTGGTTTTTGTCATACATTGAAATGAATTAGCCATGGATTTACATGTATTCCCCATCCCGGTCCCCCCTCCCACCTCCCTCTCCACCCCATCCCTCTGGGTCTTCCCAGTGCACCAGGCCCGAGCACTTGTCTCATGCATCCAACATGGGCTGGTGATCTGTTTCACCCTAGATAATATACATGTTTCGATGCTGTTCTCTTGAAACATCCCACCCTTGCCTTCTCCCAGAGTCCACAAGTCTGTTCTATACATCTGTGCCTCTTTTTCTGTTTTGCATATAGGGTTATTGTTACCATCTTTCTAAATTCCATATATATGTGTTAGTATACTGTAATGGTCTTTATCTTTCTGGCTTATTTCGCTCTGTATAATGGGCTCCAGTTTCATCCATCTCATTAGAACTGATTCAAATGAATTCTTTTTAATGGCTGAGTAATATTCCATGGTGTATATGTACCACAGTTTCCTCATCCATTCATCTGCTGATGGGCATCTAGGTTGCTTCCATGTCCTGGCTATTATAAACAGTGCTGCGGTGAATATTGGGGTGCACGTGTCTCTTTCAGATCTGGTTTCCTCCGTGTGTATGCCCAGAAGTGGGATTGCTGGGTCATATGGCAGTTCTATTTCCAGCTTTTTAAGAAATCTCCACACTGTTTTCCATAGTGGCTGTACTAATTTGCATTCCCACCAACATTGTAAGAGGGTTCCCTTTTCTCCACACCCTCTCCAGCATTTATTGCTTGTAGACTTTTGGATAACAGCCATCCTTACTGGTGTGTAATGGTACCTCATTGTGGTTTTGATTTGCATTTCTCTGATAAAGCACAGAGTTTTAACCACTGAACTGCCAGGGAAGTCCCAGTATTGGGAGCTGTGCTGTGCATTGATACTGACCAGCATCCTTGGCCTCTACCCATTAGATGCAAGTAGCAATACCCGCCCCCTCCCCACCAGCCCACAGGCTGTTGTGACAACCTGAAATGTCTCTGAACATTGTGGAATATGCCTTGGGTGGGCAGGAGGGAACCTGGGGTGGGGTGGAGGGTGTAGCAAAATTGCCCTTGGTTAAGAGCTGCGGCTCTAGACTTAGTCTGTATTGACAAAACACTGTTTCTAAAGCAAAACTGAGTCTTTTAAATTTATTGTTAGGTTGAGAATTATTTTACAACCTGTAAGACTTGTCATTCTGATAAGAGTTTTTCATCTGGCTCATCAAAAAAGACATCTTGAAATGTTGACCAGAAGGATGGTAAGTGGGCGAAATATGCTTACTTTTCAGAAAAAAATGTTTGCATTTTGGGAAATACTGTTTAGGGTTGTAGATATCTATATATTGTTCTTTGTTCCTTTTTTTTTTAATGTTGGTTTATGTATTACAAGTGAATGACTGTTATAAACTTTTAGGTTTCAGGGAACAAACGGCGGTACAAGAAGGATGGATTTGACTTAGACCTCACTTATGTTACTGGTTTGTGAAGTTTATCTGTTGATTGCTTATATTAACACCATATTTTTCATGTGTGTGAGTAATTATATGTTTAGTTTTGCCCTAAGTCATGTTCTTGCAATGCATTCTTTGTCCGTGAAGACTTATGCCACTATGGTAGTGACATATTTGGAGTGTAACTCTGACAATGGAAAAATCTTAATTTTCACCTCAAATCAGGGCTACTTGGCTATAGCATAGGAAGTTGCATGGGTTTTCAGCTGAAGTCATTTGTTTGGTTTAAAATTTATTAAGTTTTAGTAGTTATCCTTGGTCTCAAGGTTTTCAGAGAAACCTCTTCCCTTGCTGGAACCCTAGTGATGAGGTCGTTGCGTTTAGGTCTCAGTTTCTGAATCAAAGGGACACTTTAAAACCTCCCAGGAGGTCCTAACGTTGTCAGAGCCCAGATCTCTCGTTTTCCTTTGGTGTTTAAGAAACCAATTCCGACCACAGGGAGTGCTCCAGACTAAAGTTATTGCTTAATTCTTGAACCATTTGAACAGACAAATCTGTTGCTTAAGTCTTGAACCATTTGAGTCTTGGGAGCATTAAGTGTAATGATCAAAACAGTGAATACTTTCATATGTTATACTGATTATCCTGAGGGTTAGTTCGCTTTTTCTCTGGTCATTCTCATCCTGAAAATTCTTTTCTACAGAAAAGGAGTCTGATTATATATAAATTGAGTTCTCATATATTGTTCCACATGTATAACATTTGTAATAGTGACTGTTTTGACTTCCAGAGCGTATTATTGCCATGTCATTCCCATCTTCTGGAAAGCAGTCTTTCTACAGGAATCCCATTAAGGTAAACGTTTTTCACATTTTCACGTTTCTCAGCAAACATAGATTCTGGAGTCATAAGATAACCTTGGCCCAGAGACAGCAGTACTCTCCTAAAAATGTACTCTTAAAAAATAAAAATAAATAAATGAATAAATAAAAATAAAAATGTACTCTTTCAGACAAAAAAAATTCTCATGGGTTGTTATCTGTTAGCATTTGCTGTGCTATGAATTACCCCAAAACTTCAGTGACTTGCAACAGCAAACATTGACATAGCTCATGACAACATGGTTTGTAAATTTGAGTTAGGCTTAACTGGCTGGCTCTGCCAATCAGGAATTGGCTTCACTAATCTTGGCAGAGCTAACTTATGCATCTGTGGGCAACACCTGGGCATTAGAGGATTGGCTAGTCTAAGATGGCATGCCTGGAAGCTCCATGTGATTCTCATTCTCCAACAGGCTAGCTCAGGCTTGTTTACATAAAGGAGTGGCAAGGACCTCATTATCATCCAGGCAAAGAATGCCGAACCTCCAAAGGCCCAGGATCCAAACTAGTGTAATGTGGCTTCTACCTCATTCTATTAGACAAGCCAACTACAAACCCAGTTCAGATTCAGACAGACAACAGATACCATCTCTGTTGTATCTGTGGGGAATTGTGGCCATTTTTCATGGTCTGTCATAGGGGAAAAGATGGAGAATTCTTTAACTAAAAATGTCTGTTCTTAGGTTAAGATCCTAAATTACAGTGGATACATACTGCTTCAGGTTCTATAGGTTAAATAAATTAAGTTCAAACATCAAATGATGTTTACTATGAAATTCTAGTTAAAAGTAATTGTTTAAGAAGTTTTCATATGTGTGTGGATGTGTATGCGTGCATGCTCAGTTGCTTCAGTCATGTCCAACTCTTTGCAACCACATGGAGTGTAGCCCGTTGGGCTCCTCTGTCCTTGGGATTCTCCAGACAAGAATACTAGAGTGGGTTGCCATGCCCTCCTCCAGGGGATCTTCTCGACCCAGGGACTGAACCTGCATCTCCTGTATTGCAGGCAGATTCTTTACCCTCTGAGCCACCTGGGAAGCCCTGTGGATGTGTATACGTTAGTGTATATCCATTTGTTATATCTCAATAAAATGTAATTATGTATATGTGTGTATGTCTATATATCAGTGTACCTATATACACGTGGGTATGTTATTATACTTTGAGGCCAACAAATATTGTAAATTGCACTAACCTTAAATGTGTATCTTGATTAAAATTATATATAGGTATATATGCATGTAACCAACACCCCTATCAAAATGTGGAGCACTTCTTGCTCTTTTTCAGTCAATACCCTGACATACTGGAGGTAATTACTGTTCTTACTTCTGTCACAAAAGATTAGTTTTACTTTTTCTTAAATTTCACATAAATGGAATCACATACTGTAGCTTTTTACACTTACAATAAATTCTGTGAGATTTGTCCAGTATTATTGTGTATACCATAATATAATAGTTGTACTTATATAAAGTACAGTTCTTTCTAAATAGCATAACATTAATATTTATTGCTTCTGGAATATTGATTGGAAGCCCAAGCATTCAGTTTACTTACAGAAATTATACAATTATACATTGCTTCACGAAAGCAGCCAACACATCACATTCTAAAAATTCAGAAAATTAAAAATTCTAAATACCAAGAGGTGCATCTGAGGAAACAGATACAAATTTGGCAGCCAGTAATTTTAACACAGAAGTTGTACACATCTCATGACTTTAAGTCTGTGAATATGATATTCAGACAGTTAGCTCGAGTCCATCATTAAAGTAATTTATTCATTTTTCCTGTATACTTGTGTTTCATACATCAATATTTGCATACTCTGGAATATGTTAGAAAGAAATGTATAATATTCACAAATGTGCAGAAAAGCAAGCAAAAACTGTAAACCTGCCCAGTTCGTCTGAGAAATCTCATGTCAGCTTCATAAGCATATTCCTTCTACAAAACAGTAAGCTAAGTACCTATATCTAAGGTAAAGCACATTTTCTTACGAATAATGAAGTCTTTTTCTCACCACAGAAGTGTGCAAAAAGAATTTTAGTTAGATCTCTCAGAATGTGTTTAACTTCATAAATTCAACAGGCTTAAGGTTTCCAAGCATTAACAAGGATCAGATTTTAAATTAGTTAGAGGAGAAAGAATCTGTCTTGAAAAATGTGACTCCTTTGTTACCAACTAGAAGAATTATCCAATTCATATCTTATCAGTTCAGTTCAGTCACTCAGCCATGTCTGACTCTTTGCGACCTCATGGACAGCAGCATGCCAGGCCTCCCTGTCCATCACCAACTCCTGGAGCTTGTTCAAACTCATGTCCATCAAGTCGGAGATGCCATCCAACCATCTGGTTCTCTGTCATCCCCTTCTCCTCCTGCTTTCAATCTTTGCCAGCATCAGGGTCTTTTCCAATGAGTCAGCTCTTTGCTTCAGGTGGCCAAAGTACTGGAGTTTCAGCTTCAGCATGGTATCTTATAGAAACAGAAAATACAGCATTTCTTCCTCAGAATAATGTGTGTAAATTATATATACTCTATATTATATATACTATATATCATAAATTAGATAATATACAGTTGTATATTTAATTATATATTGATATATTAAAATATTTCTCTCAAAATAGTATCTTTTTAAATAAAATATACATTATAGTATATATTCAGTTCAGTAGCTCAGTCATATCTGACTCTTTGCAACCCCATGAATCGCAGCACACCAGGCCTCCCTGCCCATCACCAACTCCCAGAGTTTACTCAAACTCATGTCCATTGAGTTGGTGAAGACATCCAACCATCTCATCCTTTGCCGTCCCCTTCTCCTCACGCCTTCAATCTTTCTCAGAATCAGGGTCTTTTCCAATGAGTGAGTTCTTTGTATCAGGTGACCGAAGCATTGGAGTTTCAGCATCAGTCCTTCCAATGAACACTCAGGACTGATCTCCTTTAGGATGGACTGGTTGGATCCCCTAAATATATATAAATATGATATATAAAATTAATATATTTTATATATATATCATGTTATATAGTATATAATTATATATCATAAATATATATCCATTTTATATAGCATTAATATTCCATTTATAAATATTTACTACATATATAGTATACATTTCAACTGTTATAGAAACAAAAATATAACAGTTCCCCCTTTATAATTATGTATATTTACATGTAATTTATTACATATACTATATAATATAAAATTATAAAACCTATGTAATAGTTTTTATATTATGTGATATAATTATGTCATTTAATCATATAGTGTACAAATATACATATATTCTGAATATATTAATATATGTAATACTATCAGTATACATTTATAATTTATAATTATATAATAAATATGAAATTATATAAAAATAATTCTACATATTTCTTTGTAATGTTCTGTTATATAATATAATATGCATGATCTTACATATATATAGAACATATAATATGTTACACATAAATATGGGCTTCCCTGGTAGCTCAAATGGTAAAGAATCTGCCTGCAATGCAGGAGATTTGGGTTTGATCCCTGGGTTAGAAAGATTCCCTGGAGAAGGGCATGACAATCCATTCCAGTATTCTTGCCTGGAGAATTCCATGGACAGAGGAGTCTGGCAGGCTATAGTCCATGGTGTTCCAAAGAGTTGGACATGACTGAACCGCTAACACTTATACTTTTTCACACATAAATATACATATATTATTCTAAGGGAGAAAATTTTTTATTTTTGTGTTTCTGTAAGAGATGAACATATAGGTAATTTATATTTTTAAATAAAAATTGTATATAACTACCATGAAGCACTTTAACTCATATGGTAAATGTGACTATGGTAACTATGGTTACCATATGGTTACCATATGGTAACTATGACTGAAATATAAAAACTGTCAGAGCTGTCAGAAGAAGACTGGAAGCTTTTTTATATATGTATTATCCGAACATAATACTCTCCAAAAGAATTAAGGATTGCAATTATTACTTTCTGGTTTAAACACTTTAATTCTAAACTTAAAAAAATCTAAACACGAGTCGCTGATTTAAACAGATCCTCTCCCACCTTCCAAAAAGTATTTAGTAGCAAGACCCAGTAAAGCTGATATTCATAATTTTCTACATGAATAATTCTTCCAGAATTTATCCCATGAAGTACTTTATGACCTCCTTTTCTTGTAAAATGAAAACTCCATTTGTTTACATAAAAATTTCAAAGAGTGTAAAACTAGAACTGAGTGTGAACTACTGAAAGTCTCTAAAGAGTCTTGTTCTGTCGGTTCGTCAGTGACTTCTGTGACTTCACAATTGTTTCCTGTGGGTGGTTCTGAGCGAATTTCTCCAGTTCTGCTGGTATTGGATCCTCCTAGTTCTTCTATTTCATGACAGCTGGAATCCTACTTGCAGGGCCTCTATTTTCACTATCTGCAGAATCTAGGTCTTTCTCATCCTGAGACAGAGGAGATTCTTCTATTGATTATTTTCCACAGAAGTCTCTTCATTTATAGTTAAGGCATCATCAGATTCTTTTTCTCGATTTTTTTTCTCTGGAATCACTTCTGTTGATGTTGTTAAAGACTCTCTTCCTCTTCATCCTCTTTGTCTTTATTCTTAGATAAAGCTGGTTCTTCTGTTTCTTCTGCCATAACCTGTCCCTAGAAGTTGCTTGGCCATCTCTGACATCGTCTTCTTTGTCATACTTGAGTTTTTTTTAACCTCATGCCCCTCAGCTTCCAGACCATCTTCATTTGGAAGTTTATTTTCTATACGGCTTACCGAGGAATCCTTTGATCCAGATGTCAGTCACTGTGATTTTTGTCTTCAATCGTGCTGTAAGTTGGTCAAAACTTTTGCTTACTGTGCTTCAGGCAAACACTTACTACTTCCTCTCTCCCTCTGTTCCACTCTTATTCTTTCTCCTTCTCTCTCTCTCTCTTTCTTATAAGTTTCAGGAGTACAACATTATGATTCAACATCTGTATACAGTACAAAGTGATCACTGCCACAAGTCTAGCTGCTATCTATCGCCATAAGAGTTGACCCTCGTTACTTATTTCAGGCACACCCAAAACCCCTTCCCCTCTGGTAACCAGGAATCTGTTCTCCGTATATTTGCTTGGTTTCATTCTCTTTTGTTTGTTCATTTTATTTTTTTTAGGTTTCACATATGAATGAAATCATATGCTGTTTGTCTTTCTCGCCTGACAGTTTCACTTAGCATAGTGCTTGCAGGGTCCATCCATGTTGCTGCAAATGATGGACTTTGTTTATGATTGAATAGGAATGTGTGTGTGTACACATGTGCTTGTGTGTATCACATCTTTATTCATCCATCGATGGACATTTTTGTTGTTTCCGTATCTTGGCTATTGTTAATAATGCTGCAGTGAATGGTGCAGTGAATGGTGTATCTTTTGGAATTTGTGTTTTTTGTGTTCTTTGGGTATATACCCATAAATGGAATAGCTGGGATTATATGGTAGTTCTAGTCTTAATTTTGGGGAGAATCTCTATGCTTTTTTCCACAGAAGTTGCTTCAATTTACAGTCCTACCAATAGTGTTGAAGGATTCCCTTTTCTCTACATCCTCTCTTAACATTTTTTATTTCTTATTTTTGATAATATAATAGCTATTCTAACAGGTGTTAGGTTATACCTTGATGTGCATTTCCCTATGGATTAGTGATGCTGAACATTTTTTCATGTGCCTGATGGTCATCTGTATATCTTCTTTGGAAAACTGTTTGTTCAGATCCTCTACCCATTTTTTATTGTTTTCTTTGTTTGTTTTTAAATTGTATAGTTCTTAAGTTTTGTATATTAACCCTTTACTGGATATACGAATTGCAGATACCTTCACCCATTCAGTTAGATTGTCTTTTTGTTTTGATAATAGTCCGTATCACTGTACAGGGGATTTTTAGTTTGATGTAGCCTCATTTGTTTCTATTGGCTCATTTCGCTTGCCTTTGGAGTCAGATCCACAAAAACATTGCTAAGACCAATGTCAGTGAAGTTACCAGCCATGTTTTCTTCTAGGAATTTTATGTTTTGACATCTTACATTCAAGTCTTTAATCCTTTTTGAGTTATTTTTGTGTGTAATGTGAGATAATGCCTGCATGTGGCTGTCTAGTTTTCTCAGCACTGTGTGTTAAAGAGACCATCCTTTCTGTATATTGTTTGCTCCTTTATCGTAAGTTAATTATCCATATGGGGCTTCCCAGGTGGTGCTAGTGGTAAAGAACCCACCTTCCAATGCACGAGACTTAAGAGATGATGCAGGTTTGATCCCTGGTTCGGGAAGATCCCCTAGAGAAGATCCTCTACCCATTTTTAATTGTTTTTCTTTGTCTGTTTGTTTTTAAGTTGCATAGCTATCCATATATGTGTGGATTTATTTCTGGGCCCTCAGTTCTGTTCCATTGATCTATGTGTCTGTTTTTGTGCCAGTACCACGCTGTTCTGATGACTACAACTTTGTATTAATAGTCTAAAATCGGGGAGCATGATAAAATCAGGGAGCAATAAAGCTCTGGCTTTGTTCTTCTTCCTGAAGATTGGCCTTTTAGGATCTTTTGTGGTTCCGTACAACGTTTAGAACAAATTACAATTCCTTAAAGCTCATTTACCATCTAATTTCCTTATCTGGTAGCTTTAAACAATGTGTATTTATAGTAAAGGCTAATTTGAGTATAAAAGTACAACTTTGTGAGCTATTTGAAAACTCACAAATGGTTTAGATATAACTTGGAATGCATTTTATTCATTGAATCTCCCCTAAAGGTTCTAAGTGAGGGAAAAGTGAATAAAAGGTAATAATCATTCTAGGTTAGTAGTAGGGAAAGGTTTATGTTGGTGCACCATGGACATATATATAAGATGTGTATCCATCTTTTTTAGGAAGTTGTGCGGTTCCTGGATACCAAGCACCCAAACCACTATCAAGTCTACAATCTCTGCAGTATGTACATGACTCGGTGTTTTGCTCCTATGATAGAAAACAGGTCACTGCCTGCAAGAAGATGATTTAGTTTTTACATTTCATTTGATCATAAGTATTTGGTGGTAGGAAGTGAATTTTAAAAAATCTCCATCTTATGCTGGCCCTATTTGGTAGGAAAAGAAAGCTCAACAGCACAACGTACCCTGTGAAGGAGGCAGGAGATTGGAGGCAGAGACATTTTAGAAAGAGTCAGCTCTTGTGGTGGTAGGTTTAGGAAAGTTTTTCTGTTTTTCCTGCCAGCTTGTGTTTTGAAGACAATTCAAAAAATGCATACTCTAACCCACTACGGATGAGGTGTGAGGAGACCAGGGCCCTGCATGGAAAAAATAAATCCAAATCCTTGTAGAAAACAGATGATATCCAAGATTCCCCGCTTCCTATATATAGTAAATAGATATTTTTCAGGAGGCGAGTGTTTATTCTGGTGGCCACATTTGCTTTTGCTCTGTGTAACCCTATGATAAAGTAATGAGTAGCCTGCTAGAAAATTACAAGTAAGCAGGACCTATTGTATAGAACATGGAACTCTGCTCAACATTATTTGGCAGCCTGGATGGAGGGGAGTTTGGGGGAGAATGGATACATGTATATGTATGGCTGAGTCCCTTCGCTATTCACCTGAAATTATCAGAGAATTGTTAATTGGCTATACCGCAAAACAAAATAAAAAGGTGTTTTTAAAAAAGAGAATTAAAAGTGAGGCAAGCCAAAAGTAAAACAAACCAAATAATTTGGTCTTATGTTACTCAAGATGGAGAAAGCACTACTATACTTATGTTTCTGAGATCCTTCTAGAGCAGCAGGAGCCAGTCAGAAAGCTCTTTTTAAAAGTAGGTAAGGAGTCTCTAAAAGGTATAACTTATTCACACCTTGATCATTTGCTATGTTAATTAGAGTTAGTGATATGACCTATGCATCATTTATTTCAGGTGAAAGAGCTTATGATCCTAAGTACTTCCATCATAGGGTCCATCGATACTTGATTGATGATCACAATGTCCCCTCTCTGAGGTATGCTTGATGCCACATTGACTAACAGAAGAGGGTCAAATACATAGGGCTTGGTTTTCTTTGGAAGTATTTTAATTCAACCAAAACTATTTCATTTGAAATCAGTGAGATGGTGGCGTTCTCCATGGAAGTGAAAGAGTGGATGGCTCAAGACAAGGACAATATCATAGTGGTTCACTGTAAGGGAGGCAAAGGTAAAAACATTCCTCTTTTTATTTCTTTTTTTCTAAAGAAATTTGAAAAATTTAATAAGGTTCATCAACAAGATATGTTCTGCTATGAACCAGCAATAATCGTTGTTGACATTTTTAAAAATTAGCTTCAAGACTGAAGGAAGAGTGTATAATTCTGGCTGATTGGAGTTGCTGTACTACAGAAACCAACACAACAGTGTCGAGCAGTTTTCCTCCAATTACGCAATAAATTAGATTAAAAAATAAAAAGACTGCAGGAAGAGAAGGAAAGAGGAAGGAGAGGAAAGAAGGGAAGGGAGAGGAAGGAAGTCAGCTTACACAAATTCATCCAAAGACTTACAAAAAGAGTAAGTGCAACTTAATTTTAGTTTGTGAAGCCAAAGTTTGAAAACTAAAGCTACTCTTACCCATGACATGGATAAAAAAATTCTTAAGAAAACATTAAGAAACCAGCAATTTATTAAAAAATACTACAGCACAGCAAAATTGTGTCTACTCTAGGAATTCAAGGTTAGTTTACTATCAATCCATGTAATCAACCAGATTAATAAAGCTAAAAAATCATATTATTTTAAAAATACAGAAAAAGTTTCTGATAAAATTCAACATTCATTCATTATAAAAATTCTTAGAAAATTAAAGGAATGTCTTAATGTGATAAAAAACACACACCCACTAAAGTAATTGGTGAGCTATTGAAAGCTTTTCCTTTGAGAGTAGGAGAACAAGGGTGCCTGTGATCATCACCTCTAATTCAATACCATTCCAAAGGTTCTAGCCAGTGCTAAAGAAAAAAAGGATTGAAAGGAAAAAATATAGTTCCTTATTTTCATACAGTATAATTTTGTGCAATAAAATCCAAAAGAATTTACAGGTAAGTTAACAGAATTAATGAAAGATTTTAGTGAAGCTTCATCACACAAGTTTTTATATGTATTCATTATTATTTAGTTCAGAATATTTTCTAATTCCCATTGTGTTTGTTTCTTAGCCTCATGGGTTATATAGAAATATACTATATTTTCAAGCATGAGGATTTTGTAATTATCTTCTAGTTACTGATTTCTGGTTGCATTGCATTGTGGTCAGAGAACATATGTATTTTTTTAGTTCTTTGAAATTCGTTTCAGTTCAGTTTGTTCAGTCGCTCAGTTGTGTCTGACTCTTTGCGACCCCATGAATCACAGCACGCCAGGCCTCCCTGTCCATCACCAACTCCCAGAGTCTACCCAAACCCATGTCCATTGAGTCAGTGATACCATCCAACCATCTCATCCTCTGTCATCCCCTTCTCCTCCTGTCCTCAACCTTTTCCAGCATCAGGGTCTTTTCCAATGAGTCAGCTCTTCACATCAGGTGGCCAAAGTACTAGAGTTTCAGCTTCAACATCAGTCCTTCCAATGAACACCAAGGACTGATCTCCTTTACGATGGACTGGTTGGATCTCCTTGCAGTCCAAGGGACTCTCAAGAGTCTCCTCCAACACCACAGTTCAAAAACATCAATTCTTTGGTGCTCAGCTTTATTTATAGTCCAACTCTCACATCCATAAATGACTACTGGCAAAACCATAGCCTTGACTAGATGGACCTTTGTTGACAAAGTAATGTCTCTGCTTTTTAATATGCTGTCTAGGTTGGTCATAACTTTCCTTCCAAGGAGTAAGCATCTTTTAATTTCATGGCTGCAATCACCATCTGCAGTGATTTTGGAGCCCAAAAAAATAAAGTCAGCCACTGTTTCCACTGTTTCCCCATCTATTTGCCATGAAGTGATGGGACCGGATGCCATGATCTTAGCTTTCTGAATGTTGAGTTTTAAGCAAACTTTTTCTCTCTCCTCTTTCACTTTCATCAAGAGGCTCTTTAATTCTTCACTTTCTGCCATAAGGGTGGTATCATCTGCATATCTGAGGTTATTGATATTCCTCCTGGCAATCTTGATTCCAGCTTGTGCTTCCTCCAGCCCAGCATTTCTCATGATGTACTCTGCATATAAGTTAAATAAGCAGGGTGACAATATACAGCCTTGACGTACTCCTTTCCCAATTTGCAACCAGTCTGTTGTTCCACGTCCAGTTCTAACTGTTGCTTCCTGACCTGCATACAGGTTTCTCAAGAGACAGGTCAGGTGGTCTGGTATTCCCATCTCTTTCAGAATTTTCCACAGTTTATTGTGATCCACACAGTCAAAGGCTTTGGCATAGTCAATAAAGCAGAAATAGATGTTTTTTCTGGAATTCTCTTGCTTTTTCGATGATCCAGCAGATGTTGGCAATTTGATCTCTGGTTCCTCTGCCTTTTCTAACACCTGCTTTATGGCCCAGAATTTGGTCAATTTTATCAAATGTTTTCTCTGCACTTGAAAAATAAGTGTATTATGCATTGTTTTGAACAGGGTTCTATATGTGCCCATTAGGTTGTTTGTTCATTGTTTTATTCACATATTCTATATTTTACTGCTATTTTGATTGAATTTTTTGCTTCTTTCCACCCCCACCATTTGCTTGGAAGTCATATACTCTTTTTATATTCCTTAGTAATTACTCTAAAGATTTCAACCTACATCCTTTATTTAGCCATGAGTTTGTTGGGGTGTTTTGTTTGCTTGTTTGTTCTTTTAGTGTTGACCTTGTATCCTCCTGAACTCTTGTCATCAGTTTTAGGAGTTAGCCTGTAGAGTTACTTGGATTTTCCTAGTCTTCAAATAGTTCATTTTTTCTTTTTTTATCCATATACATTTTGTTCCTTTTTCTTACCTTACAACACTGGCTAAGACATGTAGTACAGTGTTAACTAGAAACAGCCCAATAGTGGACATTTTGTTTAGTTCCTGGCTTTAGAAGGAATGTTATCATCATTTCATCATTAATATGGTAAACCTAGTACATATTTTGGTAGATTCTTTTCATCATACTTAAAGTTAAAACTTTTGTCCAATAGCAAAAGTTTAGTGGGTGAATATACACCTATGTTTTAAGTTAAAATACTAAAAACAAATGTAAAGCATTTTAATGATTCCTTGCATACCTGAGTTGACTGGATGAGAAAGTGGCTACTCTATCTATGGCAGAGTGTGTGTGCGCTTATCCACAGCCATCAGGACATGGATCTACAAAAGTTGGGGTTTTTTTTCTTTTTTCAAATGGGAATATATAAGGGCTGTGGATATTTCATAGATGTCCAACAAATTTGAAATGTTAACCTAGAGAGAGCCAGGTTGTTAATGGTCAGTAGCCTTCTTTAGCAAGAAGCTTTTATTTATCAGAGGACAAGGTGGTACAAAGTTTTCTTTGAAAGTTATTGGCTTAGAGTAGTGTTTTTCAAACTATGGATTGAAAAATAAATTTAAACATTCGTTTTTTTGAAGGATAGAATAGAAAATAAAGTGCATCTCAAGGTAAAAGGGTAAGTTTGGAATTGCATAAAATAAGTTCAGCATACGCTAGCTAAGACAAAAGTCATAGGTCATTGTAGAAATAATAGAAGCAATGTACTTTTTAACTCACACTTTGTGCTCCTGGACAAAAATATAAATTAGATAAAAAGCATGAGACTTTGAGCTTGAAATGACATGAAATCAAGTTTTCTTTAAAATGCTACGGGGGTGAAAGCATATATGTGGAATCTAGAAATGGTATAGATGAAGTTACTTGCAAAGCAAAACTAGATGCACGGACCTAGAGAACAAATGTGTGGATACAAGGTGGGTAAGCGTGGGTAGAATTGGAGGAATTGGGAGATTGGGATTGACATATACATGCTGTTGATGCTATGTGTAAAATAGACAACTGATGGGCACCTACTGTCTGGCACGAGCAACTCTCCTTAATGCTCTGTGATGACCTAAATGCAAGGGAAATATGAAGTGGGGGGATATATGTGTACATTTAGCCGATTCACTCTGCTGGGCAGTAGAAGCTAACACTACATTGTAAAGCAGCTATACGCCAATAAAAATTAATTAATAATAAAATAAGATGCTACAGGAAGGGCATAGAAAGAAGGAGGGGGAGAAGGATGAGGAAGAAAAGAAACGGGTAAAACAATTAATAGTCATGGAATCTGGGGCACAGGTGTATGCGGGCTCATTACACTGTTCTTCCTATTTTAATGTATGCTTTACAACACAATAACTCTAACTGAAATAGAAGGAATGGGTATTGCAAATGCTAGGTGGTGGTTTGGGTTCTGTCCATCTTTTATCTTTTATAGCTTCCTTTATTTACCTTAGTAGAGAAACAGGGTGTATAATTAGCTCTTAACCAGTGAGCATCACTTTAGCTTTAGAGTCCTAGAGCAGAGCCTGTTACTGTTACCCCAGGGGTCGTGATTCAAGAACAACATACACATGCACATGTGTGCACACAGTTAACATACAACTCTAGGCAGACCCTCAGAACAAGCAGTGTACCAGCTTTGGCTCTCTCTGAATTGAAATATTTTGAACCTGTACTTTTGGTGTGAAAAAATATCAATCCACAATGAGCTCTTTAAATACTTTGGAGAGTAGTTTTATATCAAGTACCCTCAGGAACAATGGTTCATGGACTAACTTCTTTTCTAGGAAGAACTGGAACTATGGTCTGCGCCTACCTTCTTGCCAGTGAGATATTTGCCACCGCGGAGGTATGAAAGATGCTCCTATAAACTCTGTCTTAGGCTGATTGAGTTTGCTAGCTTTGAAAGCTCACGGCTAGGATGTTAAGATGATTCCTTAAGTCATGGTGTGAGTGTGTTGCTCAGTCGCTAAGGTGTATCTGACTCTTTGCAACCCCATGAACTGCATCACGCCAGTCTTCACTGTCCCTCACTATCTCCCGGAGTTTGCTCAAACTCATGTCCATTGAGCCATTGTACTTCATGGAAGTGTTATTGGAGAGGTGGTTTTTAGAACACATGGCTTGGATACTTTCTTATTTAATTGGCACTGGTTGGTAACTGACCTCAGTCCCTCTTCCTCTGGGCTGGGATGAAGGTAAAGTTGCTGAAACGCTCACCTTGGGCACAAAATTTAAGGGAATGCCTAAAATCTCAGTAATTAAGATCAATAATCTTCTAATGCAATATTTAAAAAAAATCAAATTTAATGTACCCACATTCATCATGAGTACAGTGTCAATATTTTGATTAAAGACAGGACCCAGTAGAAGAAGGGTTAATGTGAAGTGAGTAAGGTTGAGTTATGCAAGTACAAAAAAACCTCAGCAATCCAGAAACTTGACTTGCCACCCCCAGGCCCAGCTCTGCTCTGATAGAATCCCACCAACTCCTGGCTTTCTGCTTTCCTCATGAGAATAAGAAGATGGGTTAGGGAAATTTTCTAAAGGACCCTGAACATCCTTGGAAGTGCTCAGTAGGTAAAAGTCATCATTTTTCAACCCAGAACAAAAGCTCCCCTGGACATTACTATCTTTGCACAATCAATAAGCTGTGGGGTCTGTGCCCTCTGGGAATTTCTGAGAAGACAGGATGGGCTGCTGCTGTGTCTTAAAGCAGGGTTCTCATTCTGTTTTTTCTGCAGTGATCTTACACAGAAGGGCATGCTCCCAGCATCTCTGGGCCTCTTTTGGTCTGCTGCCCAGATAAGAGAAGCTGAGGGTTATGTGCTGGGTCCAGGGCTCTGATTCCATCCTCCTCTTTGCTTCTAATTTGAGACACACAGGTTAGGACAATGGATGCTCTAGGACAGTGTTTTTTTCACACTGTGGATCAGAGTTTATCAGTGAGTTGTGAAATCAGCTCAATGGGTTGTGACTTGGAACCAAATCTACCTATAAGATGGGATAGATTAGAAAAGGTGAGTATTGTTTTGTGAAACTTTTGTTTCAGTTGTGTGTTCATGAGAGAGAGTGTGTGTGTATCTCCCAGGTTTATGGATGTGGATTGTAGCTCTAAAAGTGAAAAGTCTGAGGACTTTCCTAATGGTCCAGTGGTTAAGATGCCACACTTCCAACACAGAGGGCACAGCTCAATCCCTGGTCAGGGAACTAAGATCCCACATGGTGTGCAGCCAAAAAATGAAAAAGAAAAAGAAAAAATTTGAAAGCCATTGGTCTGAAGCCCTGGGTAGAGCCAGAGGCTAGTGCTCAGGCCGGTGCTGTCTTTGACCAGTTACATACATCTCCATGGCAGGTCACTTGATTTTCTTTTGGTCCTAATCTTCTCATTGTAAAATAGTAAGATAGGAAGAAGGACCAGATTATCTTTGAAGTTTTCCAGCTCTAAAATTCCCTGTCTTTATGAATCTTTGAATGAAAGTAGGCCTTGATATGTCTTTCTTAGTTCTGTTGTTTTGGGTAGCCTCTGACCAGAGATCGCTGACCTTAGGAAATCACATGTCCTTAGAAGCTTTCTAATGCCTTCTACAGGAAAGGAAAGTGCAGATGACCCATGACTGGACTGTCCCTTCTTTTATAGGACAGCCTGTATTATTTTGGAGAACGGCGAACAGATAAATCCACAAGCAGTAAATTTCAGGGAATAGAGACTCCTTCTCAGGTAAGTGTTCTTCCTTTAAAAGGGGTCACTCTGGGTCATTAGGTTAAGACTGGCACCTATCTCCCTGGTTTTCTTTTCTTTTTTTAAAAATAATTTTTGGCTGTGCTGGGTCGTGGCTGCGTGCAGGCTTTCTCTAGCTGCATTGCATGGGCTTCTTATTGTGATGGCTTCTTTTATTGCGAAGCACAGGCTCTAGGCCCTTGGGCTTCAGTAGCTGCGGCTCTCAGGCTCCACACACAGATCCCCTGTGTGTGTGGCGGTAATTCTCAGACACCGTCCCCTCCTCGCCCTGCTGTGTGGGTCATCCCATGCACTACACACATTTCACCCATCCCTGACTTAAGAGCTTGACTGGCCCTTTCCAATGGAGAGCATGGTGGTTAATTTTACTAACATTTCCCAATGAGTGGGGAAGAGCCTGCGAACTTTTCAGTCCAGCTGATTCCATACTAGAACTCTTCGACTTCTAGAAGAAAAGTTCAAGCAGAGCCCTTGTGAGCGACTTGCTATAGGAGAAGGACTAGGCTAAGAGAATTCACAGGGCTTTGCTGCAAAAATGGGATTGGGGAAATGGACAGTGGGGAACTGGTTGCTGACTGGGACTGGAGAAGAATGTGTATGTGCTGCTGGCCTGGGGTGGGGGGGGGTCTTCCCCTGAGTTTTTACATCTTCCCTTCTCTTATCTGATGAGCTACTCCTTCTCCCTGCAAAGCACAAACCATCCTTTAACTCAGCCACCACAAAGCTCCTACCCTCTACTGGTCTGTTACATTTGCAGTTAACTGCATCTTGCTGTGATGCTGTCGTAGCTCTTTTGTTGGTTCTGGTTAGTGGCTCTTGGTTCCAGCTGCCTCTCAGAACACTGGGCCCATTTCTTGTTCCTGCCCTGTTGCTTTTAGTTCAGTATTTTCCCCCCTAAGGTCGATATACAGCCAGGAGACAACAATGCCTTATCTAAAGGCCCCCAGTCAATGTTTCCGTCATCCATTACTTTCCTTAAAAAAATCAGGATACTGACCTTAGAATTTTCACCTCCATTGAATTTGAGACCTCTGTTGTTTTGCAGAATAGATTCGTTGAATATTTTGCAATGGTGAAAAATATCTACAATTTGACTCTTCCTCCAATGAAAAAACTCACCATCAAAAAAATCGTGATTTATTCGATTCATGGTAAGTGCTGTATGTATAATTGGAGAACTGGGCAGGAGGGCCAGTGTTCTTACTCGTTGGGAGGGTTTTCTCACAGTTATATACACAGTCCCAGCTGATAGCTATTAGTGGAGCCTCACATGCAAGTTCCTCCCCCTGGAATTGCCCATTTGCCTTGTACTGCTGTGGCCACATTGTCAGTTGCTGAGTCGTGTTTGACTCTTCTGTGGCCCCACGGGCTGTGGCCTGCCAGGCTCCTCTGTCCATGGGATTTCCCAGGCAAGAATACTGGAGTGGGTTGCCATTTCCTTCTCCAGGGCCTTTTCCCAACCCAGGGATCGAACTCATGTCTTCTGCATTGGCAGGAGGGTTCTTTACCCTTGAGCCACCTGGGAAGCCCTATGGCCACATTGCCACCACTCAGATGTCCTCTCCTTTCCTTTCTCAGTTTGAGGGGCTCCATCCACCCCCTTCCCTTTTTCCTATTCTCACTGCAGCTCTGGGCTCAGCCCAGGGTGTCCTTTTCAGAGTAGGACCTCTGAGATTAAATGGAGTACAGGCCCGTGAGGCTGGAGACCGCTTCTTTCTCACACCTCATCTCTGGCTCAGGGTTTGTCCTGGCAGAGACATCCCTGGATCATTCTCTCCTTCTCCGTTCAGAGATCCTCCTTTTTTTCCCTCATCACCTGGTTTTCTTTGATTTTCTACTCACCATCAAAAGTTTCTCCCTTTACCCACCCTCCTCTCCTATAGCCCTCTCTCCCCAGAAACTCCATCAGGATGTCTTAAATACCTGAACAGCAGATGCATTTTGTTGCCATGATTCTTGTTTTTACAAATCACTCTCAAGAACTACTTTGGGTGAGGCCCCCAGCTTGTGTTTCTCTGGAGCCCATGAATGGTAAGCAGAGGAGAGGAATGTACATGAATGGAGAGCTGACAGCAGTGTTGGAAAGTTTCCTGGGGCGACAGCACTTGGGTCTTCCTTCCCCGAACCTACAGGAACACAGAAAAGGGCTGGGACACACCTGGTCTCTGGGGGCCTGTCTCTCTGTACCCTAGCTCTTACTAGTTCTCAGTGGGAGTAAAAATCCTTATACATTCCAAAAGAGCTGACCGTACCTGCTTCAAGAATGTAAGGAGAAACACAGGGACCTGCCATCGCCCTTGGAGACAGGGAAGTTGGTCGGCTCATCCATCTCTGGGACTTGAAGGAGCGGGAGAGGAATAGAGGTCAAGCCCCATGTTCTATTTCTCTCTCACCTGCCTGGCTTCCCTGCACAGCTCAATCTCAGGGAGGCAGGAGATGGGGACCCCTCAGTGGAAGGGATGGGGCTCCCCCACTGCCAGAGGTGTGACAGGAGGGGATGTTTCTGGCTCTGATCCCCAAAAGCATCACCAGCTTGAGGAGCACCCGGTGGTGCGAGACTCTCCTGGGTGGTGTGGGGCCAGGGTGCTAGTCTCCACTCAGACAGTCCAGTGTTCTCAGTCCTCTGAGGAGTCGCACAAAACACTCTCTGTTGTTGCTGTTCAGTCTCTATGTCATGTCCAACTCTTTGCGACCCCATAGACTGCAGCACATTGGGCTCCCCTGTCCTTCACCATCTCCCAGAGTTCACTCAAATTCATGCCCATTGAGTTGATGATGCTATCCAACCATCTCATCCTCTGCCACCCTCTCCTCCTTTTACCTGCAATTTCCCCCAGTATCAGGGCTTCCTTGGTCGCTCAGATGGTAAAGTATCTGCCTGCAGTGCCAGGAGACCCAGGTTCAATACCTGGATTGGGAAGATCCTCTGGAAGAGGAAATGGCAGCCCACTCCAGTATTCTTGCCTGGAGAAGCCCATGGATAGAGGAGCCTGGTGGGCTACAGGCCATGGGGTCGCAAAGAGTCGGACACGACCGAGCAAGTAACACTTCACTAAAATACTCTCTAGACATTTTTTTAATGCTTCATCCAATTCTTCAGAAATAGGAGACTCCTTCGAAATATATGTAAAACTTGCGCAGTTTAAAAAAAAATAATTATTTAAATAGAAAAAGCTTTTATTCAGATTATTTCTATATTCCTCCCTCCCTACCCACACCCCCTCACGTCACCACCACCACCTCCTAGTGGTGGTGAGGAGTTGTGAGGGCCAACCACAAGCAGGTCACGTGGGTTTCTGGCTTCTGGAAACAAACTTCAACCCAGCAGCATGGGTTCTGTGGGCAGTTCTGGTCTAGATTTGCAAACAAGCATTACACAGGCAGACCCTGGAGACCCAGCCTGTTCCAGCACAAGCCTGCCTGTGTGTATAAGGAGTAACTGTTTGTGAGGAGGCTCTGTAGGCTACAGAGTTCTCTACAGGTCCATTCTGACCGTGTCATGTGTGTGTGATGAAGAAGGGACAGGGTTGGTTGGAGTGGAGCCTCACTTGGAATGCCAGCTACTCTCAGACCTCCCTGGGGTGAAGCCAGGCTCGCGGGCGGGAGGGGACAGGGGTGGGTCACTCCGCATTGTTCTCTGCAGAAAGAGCCAGACTGCTCTCCTCTGCAGTGTGGGAGGCAACACAGGGGGCTGATGGAGCAATTGCTTTCTCTTGGAATTTTAAACTTAACCGTAAAACCAAGTTGGCGGCGTGAGAGCCTGGTTTGTACCTGTATGTCTCATCTCCCTCAGGGCCCTCTTGGTTCATGATGAGAATCCAGGAAGACCTCATTTTGTTGTGTTTTCCTTTATCACACTTCACAGATTTTTTTTTTTAAACAAATTAAAGTTTTGTGACAGTTCTGTGTTGTCAGATGATGGTTACCATTTTTTAGCAATTTGGCAATCAAGTCTTTTTTTAATGAACGTATGTAGTGTTTTTTTAGACATAGATAGACTACAGTACAGTGTACATATACATTTTTATATGCACTGGGAAACCGAAAAAAAAAATTCATGTGACTTGCTTTATTGCAATATTCACTTTGTTGTAATGGTCTGGAAACAAACCAACAGTATCCCTGAGGTATGCCTGTAACAGTATCATGCACACCTCTGTGAGTATGAAGCTATTCCAAACAGGCAAATAGGCATTTAGTCTGATGGAGTTTTGATGGATTGCTCAAACATGAACCATGAGGAGTCATTTCTCAAAATGCTAAGCTTGAAAATGATTTTAACAAGTTCTAGCATTTCGGAGGTTGTCTCATTCTGATATCTAAGACTGTGGATGGCTCTCAATATTTTGAGTTTTACTTAACCTCTGTGGAGATACTGTTAAAACTGTCAAGTGTAGATCTGGAACTAATGCAAGTTTATAAGCACTGAAGGGCAAAAACTGGTGGAGAGACTTATGGGTTTAGTTTCCTCATCTCAGGGCTTCCCAGGTGGCTCAGTGGTAAAGAATCCACATGCCATGCGAGAGACCTGGATTCAATCCCTGGGTTGGGAAGATTCCCTGGAGAAGGGAAAGGCTACCCACTCCAGTATTCTGGCCTAGAGAATTCCATGGACTGTATGGTCCACAGGGTCGCAAAGAGTCGGACAAGACTGAGCAACTTTCACTTCACTTCTCAGGCTAACATAAAGTAGTGGATTTTAAAAGTCTACTTTGAGACCCCTCATAGAGGCTTCCAGACAGAAGCTTGTGCCCTTTGCAGTTGTTCTTGTGGTGTGGGACTTGGCTGGCAGTGCCAACTTTAGAAGGCATGCCTGGCATGCTAAAATTCTTGCTGCATCCACGTAAATAAGCAGGCCAAACCCAGGGACACCAGCCTTCATTTGGAATAAGAATTCTCTCCTTTGAGGGAGATTAAGATGGTGGAGTAGGAGGGTGCTGAGTTTGCCTGCCCCCGAGCCCCAACCAGGAACACGTCAAAAATACAACTCCTTGTGGAGTGATCCGGGGTAGGTAAACTCTTCTACAGCCAAGTCTGTAAAGAAAACAATTCTGGAGTCTGGTAGGAAGGAAGGAGAAGCAATCTGGTTGAGACCTGCACCCTTGGTGGGAGACCCAGAAGAAGAGGGGGCTGGTGTCATGGGCTTGGGGATTCTCTCGGAGGAGTGAGGGATTTGAGCTGCACCCCAGCTCTGTGGTCTGACACCAGGAATATGGGTCCCCTTGGCTGGTTGGGGTGTTGTTTTTTTTTTAAATATTTTATTTTCATTTGTGGTTTTATTGATTTGCAGTTTACCATTCTATGCAAAATTCAGTATTAACTTAGTTATCTTTAGTCATTACCTGGGGATCAGTTTTTTTAAAAAAACTATTAAATCCTATTAAAGCAACGCTAATGATATTCTGTCAGCTTCAAATTGACTGACTCACCACATCATTACACAGTCATCCTGCATCTGCAGTCTGTTTGTGGAATGGTATAGCTTGAAAATAAATCACTGTGGTCTCTGGAATTGAAAATGTTAGTAGAAAGGTAACTCACATACCAGAACACAAATGGTGCTGGAATGCGTAGATGCATCTGATTCTATATTAGCTAAGTGTCAGTCACACTTTTGTATCCTCTTAGCAGGTCTGAACGGAGAAGGCAATGGCACCCCACTCCAGTACTCTTGCCTGGAAAATCCTATGGATGGAGGAGCCTGGTAGGCTGCAGTCCATGGGGTCGCTAGGAGTCGGACACTGAGCAACTTCACTTTCACTTTTCACTTTTATGCACTGGAGAAGGAAATGGCAACCCACTCCAGTGTTCTTGCCTGGAGAATCCCAGGGATGGAGGAGCCTGGTGGGCTGCTGTCTATGGGGTCGCACAGAGTCGGACACGACTGAAGCGACTTAGCAGCAGCAGCAGCAGGTCTGAAAGCCGGTGGGGCTGAGGGGAGGCTGTGAAACACCGAGACCCCCACTCTTAGAGAGCAAAGTGGTGGTGGCGGTGCTAATATGCCATCCCAACCGAGGCAGCAGCCTGAAAACTCTGACCGGGGGAGAAGGCGACCTTGGCCAGTACTCTGTTGCTGCCCACATCTAGGAGGGGCAGAGCTACACCAGGGCAGTGACTGACGTTGCTGGTGAGAGAGAAGCCAGCCCGGAAGTGAGGCACCAACCTCTCTAGCCCAAACCAGCCTCTCACCAGGGAGAAAAGGTGAAACCAGCATAGAATTGTGGCCCCAAGCCCTTGGGGAATTAGTGGTAAAGAACTAGCAGTAAAGAACTCCTCCAATGCAGGAGACATAAGAGACGTGGGTTCGATCCCTGCGTTGGGAAGATCCCCTGGAGAAGGGAAGCAACCCAATCCAGTATTCTGGCCTGGAGAATTCCATGGACAGAAGAACCTGGAGAACTACAGTCCATGGAGTCCCAAGGAGTCGGACACAACTGAGGTGACTTAACATGCATGCACACAAGCCCTTGAGCCCCTGATGTGTCCCGAACCAAGGCGAAGACTGCCGTCTCATTCATTCACACACACACAGGGTCGCACCTGGCTCTGACTGTAGCCCTTCCATCTCCAGCCCCACCTCCCACCAAGGTGGTGACAGCCAGAGCATCTCAGGGGGAAATGGGACCCACGCTCACTTCAGGTCCAGCTGTCCCACCTTCAGGTCTAGCTGGGCACACCTAGACTGGATAGGGATGCTCCCACACAAGGACACGCCTTCAAGACCAGGATAGGTAATCGATTCACCTGAATTCATAGAGACAGAGCAAGTTAAACACAATGAGGAGGTAGAGGAGTATCAAATGAAAGAACAAGGGAACAAAACCCTGTAAAAACTCTAAATAATCATCTTCCTTTGGGATTATGATCATAACAGAGAGACAGTGGGGGGACTGTCAGGAAAAAGTGACAAATGGTATCTTCTCTAGGGTTGCATCTTCTCCAGGGTTGTCTTCACTGCTCATGGTCTTTAAGCTATTTTACAACTCTAAGTACATCATGAGAAACGCTGGGCTGGAGAAGCACAAGCTGGAATCAAGATTGCCAGGAGAAACATCAATAACCTCAGATATGCAGATGGCACACCACCCTTGTGGCAGAAAGTGAAGAAGAACTAAAGAGTCTCTTGAAAGTGAAAGAGGAGAGTGAAAAAGTTGGCTTAAATCTCAACATTCAGAAAACTAAGATCATGGCATCTGGTCCTATCACTTCATGGCAAATAGATGGGGAAACAGTGGCTGACTTTATTTTTCTGGGCTCTAAAATCACTGCAGATGGTGATTACAACCATGAAATTAAAAGATGCTTACTCTTTGGAAGGAAAGTTATGACCAATCTAGACAGCATATTGAAAAGCAGAGATGTTACTTTATCAACAAAGGTCTGTCTAATCAAGGCTATGGTTTTTCCAGTGGTCATGTATGGATGTGAGAATTGGACTATAAAGAAAGCTGAGCGCCAAAGAATTGATGCTTTTGAACTGTGGTGTTGGAGGAGACTCTTGAGAGTCCCTTGCACTACAAGGAGATCCAACCAGTTCATCGTAAAGGAGATCAGTCCTGGGTGTTCATTGGAAGGACTGATGTTGAAGCTGAAACTCCAATACTTTGGCCACCTGATGCGAAGAGCTGACTCATTGGAAAAGACCCTGATGCTGGGAAAGGTTGAGGGCAGGAGGAGAAGGGAGACGACAGAGGATGAGATGGTTGGATGGCATCACCGACTCAATGGACATGGGTTTGGGTAGACTCTGGGAGTTGGTGATGGACAGGGAGGCCTGGCGTGCTGTGATTCATGGGGTCGCAGAGTCAGACATGACTGAGCAACTGAACTGAACTGAAGTCATAGAAAACTGATAATAATGCAAATTATTTGGGGCATAGAAATGCAAATTAGATGTGTCTAGTAGAATGCAATTGCTTGTTGACCTGTTTTGTATCTATTTGTAAATTAATTTCATCATTCCTTATCTGCCCGCGAATGCAGTACTTTGAACCAGCTACAACATTTGACTTTTTTTTTAATAAGTTAAATAAGATTTTTGACGTGTTAAAAAAGTGCAAGTACAGGACAGTGCTATGGTATGCAACAGTTTCTGTAAAACAATATAAATATACATATATTTATGTTTGTATGTATGATGCTTAGTTGCTCAGTCATGTCCAACTCATTGTGATACTTTGGATTGTGGCCCACCAGGCTCCTCTAAGAGATTTTTTCAGGCAAGAATCCTTGAGTGGGTTGTCCTTTTCCTCCTCTCGGGGATCTTCCCAACCCAGGGATCAAATCCACATCTCCTGCGTTGGATTCTTTAACGTGCTGAGCCATCAGGGAAGCCTTGTTTGTCTGTATATACACATGTAAAACATAGAAAACTCGAGAAAATATATTCGATTATACATACATAAAAATAGAAACTAAAAAAAAAAACAGCTAAATAATAGGGGTTATCTATTGGGGCTGGCAAAATAAACAGGTGGGGGATAGGTGAAATGGAGACTTTTCATCTTCTTTATATATTATTTTTAAATCATGTGATATATTTACAGTATTTTAAAACTTTTTAATGTGTGGGGATTCAAGCTCATAGAACAATGCCCTTGTCGCTTGATAAATATCTTAACATTTAGCTCTGCATTTCCTGAATTCTAACTAATATTAGTCGAAACAAGTTCTGCAACTGCATATGACAGAGAGAATTGAGGCAAAGCCATGACTCCTAAAGACAAATGAATAATTCAGTGTTAGTGAGAACAAAATTAAATGAACATAAAACAATATGAGAAAATAATCAAGAATGATAGATAAATGACTTTGTTAGAATATTTGTTTTAGTTCTATACCTTTGGTTCTGTGCATATTTAAGTGAAATATGCAGGGTTGAAACAAAAGCAAGAAAAATTAATTGGGGGCTTGAGAAACCAACTCTTTGAGGAAATACTAAAATAAGTCGGTCAATTAAATTGGAAAAAAAAAAACAAGAGATGGCAAAAAACCATTTGTCTATAAATATATACTGAACACAGCAGGAATGTTTGGATATAGCTATCCTGTGTTTTGCATAAACTGGACTTAAATTAAGGCAAGAGGAATTTTAGTTTATTATTAAGAAACATCATGATTGGAAGTCTGAAGAAAGCTACACATCAATAAGAAAGGTTTCAAGTCCCCTTCCCTAATTTTTTTTTTTTTTTTGCTAGATAGGTGAGCAGTAAGATTCTAAGTCTTAGAAGCTGAACTGTGTCCTTTTTGTTTTTTTGTTTTTTTTCCCTTTAGCCTTATAAGCTCTGCCTTAGGGGACAGAATTGGATCGAAGCTTTGTCTTTCAAAGACAAAATTCAGGCAAGATCCAAATGATTCAATATTAATGCATTGTTAGCTGGGTTCATTTTTTCTCTTTCTAATCCATATTGTTGATTTTTAGACATTCTGATCTTTGCTCTAACCAGTCTAAATTTTTAATTTCATTCAGGTGTTGGAAAAGGCAATGGACATGATCTAAAAGTACAAATAATAATGCAACGAAAGACTGTCTTTTTCTGTTCTGCTTCCAAAAACTGTAGGGTAAGAGAAAGCACGTGAACTGAAAAGTCTGGTGTTTGTTTTAATTCTCAAATCAGCACATTGACCTCCCCAAACCATTTATCACCACAGGGAAAGGCCATGTTGCTTTCTGGTTACCATTCTACTTGCTGTCCTTGGGTTTGGATGTGAGTCAAGAGTTAAACTGATTGTTCAAAATTGTTTTCAGGGTGTTTTCCAGAATATACTTTTGGTTCAGAATGGTGCTTTGCCCTTCACTTTTCCACAGATGCTAAGCATGTTCTCAGAAACCTATCAGAGTTTTAAATTCATGCCTCTTGTCACTTTTAGCCATGTCCTGTTCTTCTTGGTAACTGTATTATATGACACTGATTCTGAAATTTCAACGCCCATGAAAATCACCTGCTTCCATATCTTGGCAGTTGTAAATAAGGCTGCTATGAACATTGGGCTGCATGTATCTTTTTTAATTAATGGTTTTTTCCCAGGTATATACCAAGAAGAGGATTGCTGCGTCATAGTTCTATATTTTTGGTTTTTTGAGAACCTTCCATACTGTTTGCACAGTGGCTACATCAATTTACTTTTCCACCAACAGTGTTTGAAGTTTCACTTTTCTCCACATCCTCACCAACATTTGTTAGTCTTCTTGATGGTAGCCATTCTGATGGGTTTGAGATGATAGCTCATTGTGATTTTAGTTTGCATTTATCTGGTGGTTAACAATGTTGAGCATCTTTTCATGTGCCTGTTGGCCATCTGGATGTCTGCTGGAAAAATGTCTATTCAGGTCTACTGCTCACTTTTAAATTAGGTTGCTTGTTTTGGTTTTTTGTTTTTGTTTAATGTTGCAGGAGCTGCTTATATACTTTGGATATTAACCCTTTTATCAGTCAAATCCTTTGCAAATATTTTCTCCATTTTGGCTGTCTTCATATTGTCAATAGTGTGCATTGCTGTGCAACAGCATGTATGTTTAATTAGGTCCCATTCATTTCTTTTTGCTTGTTTCCTTTCATTTAAGAGGCAGATCCAAGGAATCCAAAGAATCACTGCCACAATTTACATCAAAGAGTGTTCAGCCTGTGTTTTCCTCTAGGAGTTTTATAGTATCAGGTCTTACATTTAGATTTTAATCCATTTTGAGTTTATTTTTGCACAGGGTGTTAGAAAATGTTCTTTTACACATAGCTGCTCTACTGTCTTTGTTTTGAAGTCTGTTTTGTCTGATATAAGTATTGGTACTTTCAGTGATTATATTTAGCTCTGATTGGCTCTTTTTAATATCTCTCTGTTGAAGTTCTTCCTGTGTTCATTCTTCTTCCAAGTCTGAGTTTCCTTATGGGCATGACTTTGAATACTTTATCAGGTTGATTCCTTATGTCCATTTTGTTGGTTCTTTTTCTGAGGTCTTGTCTTTTTCTCTCAGTTGGGACATATTCCCATCTCCTCATTTTCCCTGACTCTGAGTTTGTTTCTATGTATTAGGTGGATCACCGACATCTGGTTTTGAAAAAGTGGCCTTAGGTAGGAGGTTTCCTATGGGACCCAGAAGAGCAATCCCGGCTCATCATCGGAGCCAGGGAATTTTTCTTGTGGGCTGCATGTGCCCACCTGTTGTGTGGCACCACTGTTGCTGCAGACTCACGAGTGGATGGCGCTGGAGCCCACGCTGGCTGCCTCTGAGGCCTGCCCACGCCTGCTGCAGGTTCACTAGTGGGCAGGGCAGGCCTCAGTGCGGCTGGCTTGGTGCCCAGCCACGACAGTTGCAGATGCAGTTTTGATGAGCTTGGTCCCCTAGGGTGGGAGATGCTTTGGAGGACTGCCAGCTGGGGTGAGCACGTGGGGCAGGGCAGGTCTGCAAGAGAACACCGGGGCGGGGCATGTGCTGCTAGCCAGGTAGATGGCAGATGTTTGAAATGGCACCCGCCATGCTGGGCCAGCTAGGCAGAGGGGGAATATTTTACACGATGCCTGCCAGCACTTTGTTCTCCAGAGGAAGCTTCTGCCCCTGTAGCATTCACCCTGAAGTTTATACATGCACTTCACATATGGCCAGGGCACCTTTTGGGGTACAGCCTCTGCAATGGGGCTCTTAGTGAGGGAGTTTATGCACAGGCCCTTTAACGCATTATCGACTGGGGGATTTCTGCAGATAACTAATGCCTGTGGCAGGTGACCTGTCATGTAAGTGAATACTGAAACGTCTCTGATCAATAACATCTAGGTAGCAGAAGATATATTAATAAGTCTCTGGTCAGAAGAGCAGGAGTTTCATTTCCCACCGCCCTCCTGCTCTCCTGGATATAAGCCCTGCTGGTTTTTAGAACCTGATGTTCTGGGGGCTCATCTTCCCCAGAGCTGGGGTGCCTGATGAAAGGGGCTTGAACCCTTCCTCTCCAGCGGGAGAACTTCCGCGTTGGTGAGCCCCCTCCCGCGTGTGGGTAGTAGTCACGCTGGGCGTACGGGTCTGCTAAGACCACCCATCTCTGCCCTCCTGTCTCAGTGTGGTTTCCTCTTCATATCTGCAGTCATAGCAGAGCTGTCCTGCTATCTTCAGGTCATTCGTGGAGTCGTCCCATAGATAGTTGTAGTTTTGCTGTATCTGTGGGGGCCGGTGAGCTGGGCACCCTCCTACTCCACCATCTGATCCTGCCTTGGTGCCCCTCTTCACCGACACACATCCTCCCATGCCCAGCTCGGCGTCTGCCTCCTCAGGGAAGCGCTCTCATCCTTCACCTCCATTAACCTCCCTGCAGCCCACAGCGTCACCCTCTCTTTATCATCCAGCTTGACACGTGATTACCTGCCATTCTGCTATTGTTCCTTGTGTGCTTAACTCCCTGAAGCATCATCAGAGTCTGCACCTCATTTTGTACTTTTTTTCACAGGACCGAGCACAGACCTTTCCCACTGTGGGTTCCATCCTCACCCAAGGGTGTATCAGGAACAAAGAAATAGTATCGCATCAAAGTTGTTCATTCCAGAAACTTGGCCTATGCCTTGGTCATTCCATCCAGCTGTCTGCTACAGACAAGGCCAATAATCCCATCAGCAAATACATCTTTTATAAAATGTGATCCATTAGGCATTGCTCTTTGAATGTGCCTACTAGCTTTAAAATTGAACTTCTAATGTATTCTCAACATATGAAAATCAGATGATAGACATTCAACAGTAATGTTAACTTGGTTGAAGTCTAATGGAAAACTGGACAATTTACTTTTCAACAGTGCTGCACCATAACCTTCAACCACACTGGCCTATTACAAATGTGAACAACAGTATTGCAACTTTAAAGATTTATATTTATACATGTAGTCACTGAACTATGAGACCAAGAGAACTTGATTAAATATTAGAAGCTGCAATAAGTGAACATGAACTTCACTGTTGTCTCATTATCAGGTTGATAATTCTGAATTCTGTGTGTTCATCCAGATATTTCATGATGCTGAAACAGACAGAGTAATAATCTTGCTCTCTAACTGCCCACCTCTGTATGATGAGGTAAAAGTGAAATTTTTCTCTTCTTCGGTGAGTAATCAAGAAACAACCTATGCTATTCATCTCATCTAGTCTTGTGAATGATTCTGATTTGGGATTTCCTTGACTATAATTCCCAATAAGCGAGATGACAGGCGATGTCAACCCCAAGTCAGGGAGGGGAAGAAAACAAGTCAGATTACTATAAAGAATTTTTTAAAATAAGAAAATATGTAAGGAAACCTTTTTTGCTTGTTTTCTAAATTCTATACAATTTGCATGTGTTCATTTTTGAGCAAGAGAGAAATACAAAAACCAGGATGTTAAAAACAAAACAATGTATGTCTTACTACATAGCAGTGATCATATTTTTGCTTTGTATCTTTAAAACACATTTCTCCCCATAACTTACAAAATACTTTAAGGGAGGAAGGTTTTGCTTTCCTCATAATTGATGTATAATTTATTTAAAATAGTATATTTAATCCAATATTTATGAAATATAATGTCTGCCACTGTCATTACATTACCATGAGGGTATAATTATGTTGACCAGTTAGCAAATGTCTGATTATTCTGTATATGGCAATATTCTGTATATAATAAACTTCTAAGCCTCAATTGCTAGTTCATTTTCCTATAACATCATCAACCAGAACTGCCAACAGATAACTGTGTTGCTCAATTTAAAGCTTATTTCCTTCATGCCCCGCTTGCTCCCTGTTGGGGGAGAACTTACTAAGTTTGAAGTGGTAAATGTGTTGAAGCAAGTGACCTGGAAAGTTCCCCTAGAGTAATGGAGCCAGTCTGAGTTCTCTTAATCAGTGGTCTCTAAGCAGAAGCGCTAGTGTGGGGATGTTGGTTTTGTCTGGCCTTTGTGATTTTCAGGCCCATGAGTTGTGAAAGCCCTTTTGGAAATTTTAGCTATTTCTATCATCATTATTGATAGTGGTTAATTATCTAATGTAGCTGTTCTTTGTAAAAATGGATGATACACTGGGGTAGAAATCAGCATAATCCTTAGTAGATTCTGTTTAGCACTATCCAAACCAGATTAAAATACCAGTGTCTAAATTTATAAATATCTATCATAGACAGAATACATTTCCTTGAAAATTTTGCCAGAAACAGCAAGAGAAAGGAATGGTAATCTCTTAAAGTCTCCTCCTTGGTGTCTTGAGTATAATGTTGACTAGAAGTGCTGCATTTTAATAACTACAACTATTTGATGAACACACAAATGAATAAAGGAAGGAATTTTAATCCTTTTGGAATGACTATTTTTCACAGTTACATGGATACCAAGAACTAATAGTTGTTTTAAACCATGTCTTTTTAGGCTCTTCCTAAATACTACGACAACTGTGCATTCTTCTTCTGGTTCCATATGTCTTTTATACAAAATAACAGGTATGGCCATGGTATAATCCAGTAGAAACAGCTTAGTCTCCAATGACTACGTAAGGGGTAATGACAAGCCTTTATTTTAAAGTTATTTTGCTTGGCTGTGTTGGGTCTTAATTGTGGCACACAAGCTTAGCTGCCACCTATGGGACTGCTCCCTAGTATGTGGGATCTTCGCTCCCCGACCAGAGATCAAACCTGCATTTTAAGGCAGATTCTTAACCACTGGGCCACCAGAGAAGTCCCTGACAAGTCTTTTGCTAATTACTCAAACCCAATTTATAGATACCAAAAATTCTTTTGAGTCCCTGTTTTTACTGCCTTATTGTGATCTGGTTCTTTAAAAAATAATGGCTATTCTTGAGATCCACTGTTGCATTATCCTCAAGATCCATGCCGTAGGACTGTGTTATAAAATATCCTATAACCAGATCTTGACTGGTAACAAGTCCTTCCCATGAAAGTTCAATATGAATCTGTTTAGCACCTCAATATGGCAGGTCCTCAGTACATGCTGATTTACTGATGACCAACCAGCATCATATTCTACACCACAGTAAGGCATCACCCAGGGAGGCTTCGGCTAGTTTGAAAGCTGGCTGACATACTTCTATTTTATACTTCTATATTTATGGCTGAAGTTATAAACCACAGTAAGTATTGATGAAGGCAGCTTAAAAAAAATTATGAATAGTCTCCCATAAAAAATGTTCTAATAACTAAATTGGATAATCTATTGATTTGAAGATTATGGCAAAGAACCTCTATCCTATCTGAACCTCATTCCTACATCTAGAAGTTCCCCACTTTTCATGTCCTATGGTGCTGATGGGATGGTATCACCATCCCATCCCATCCCAGGAAAAACAATATTCAAAAAATTGTACAGGAGTTTTGAAGAAGTGGTTGTGAGTTGACAGTTCTCCTGACATACAACTCTAGCCTTTACTTCAAATGTGGATGCCCTCCCATCCCACCTCAAGTTCCAGGAAGGCAACAATACATCTACAATTCACACACACACTCAGTGGATTTCGATAGAATGAACTTTAGATGTGACGGAACTTTACCAGATTTTTTTCCCCTTGGATGTGCTTGTGATCAGTTGTGTCCAACTTTTTGCAACCCCATGCACTGTATAACCATCAGGCTCCTCTGTCCATGGAATTCTCTAGGCACGAATACTGGAGTGGGTTGCCATTCCCTTCTCCAGGGAATCTTCCCAACCCAGGGATCGAAGTGTCTTTTAAATTATGAAGTGGGCATCTTGGATGAATTAAGTCTCATAAGACAAACAGCTTCACCCAGTAGTATGGAAATTTAAATGTTAAATTTTCTGGCTGGCCAAGTCTCCTGCAGTGGCCGGCAGATTCTTTACTACTGAGCCACCAGGGAAGCCCCCCCACCCCCACCCCCACCCCGGATGTTTACAGATGGAAAACTTTGACTTATGAGCAAAATCCCTCAAAATTGACATCTGGGTGGAACTTCATTTGGTGCTACTTCTCCAAAGCAGTTCTTGCTGAAGGACAGTTATTTCCTTTAAAACACCATGGTTGTATTAGAGAAGCAACAAGTTCCATCACTTTTCTCCTCACTTTTATAGAGTTCCTCAGGATTTAACACTTAGATTTCCATACTACTGGGTGGAGCTGTTTGTATTACGAGACTTAATTCATCCAAAATGCCCACTTCATAATTTAAAAGACACTTGTTTATACTGGGTTTTAATACACATCCAGTCTGATTTGTCACAGAGCAATTCATTAAATACAGATGTTAATTCCAAAGGCAATATTAAAAGAATAAGTGACACATTGTTACTCGAGGTTATTATATTTTTGTCTCTTAATAGACAGTTGAGCTTAGAAAGCCAACTAGATGCAAAGGAGCTGAGACTGATGGTGGCCAGCAAGTGGGGCTTTAAATCAAGGGTGCCCTACAGCATGGCTTTTCTGTTAGCCCGAAAATAAAATGTAAAAAAAAAATTTTTGTTTTCTATTCTAGGCTTTATCTATCAAGAAGTGAATTGGATAATCCCCATAAAATAAAAGCATGGAAAACTTACAGTCCAGAGTTTGCAGTCGAGGTATATTTTGATGACATTTAAGTTGTTCCTGGTATCTGATTAAGTATAGTTCCCCTTCTAGGCTAGAATCATGTTCTTCCCAATCCTTGCTATATATTTATATCTTTTAAACCTATGTTCTTGCTGATGTGCTTATATTTATATACATGTACATATGTTCTTGAGAAATCTATTAAATATATACAAGGGAGAATGTCAATGGCAGTTATTTTTTTTTGGAAGGTCTATACATCACACAGAGTTTTCGTCCGAATTAAGTTTGAAACAGGACACAGAACATTAGTTATCACTTTTAAGAACTTACAAATAAAACTTTCCCACCAAAATAAGATTTAAAGACTGCAGTTTCCTCTAATACTGTGGGTTTGTTTCATTTACTTATATATTTCTGGACAAGTATTTATTCCCTGCTTTGTTTTACATCTGTAACTTCAGATGTTAGAAGGTAATTTCTTTGACTTACAAACTATTAACAATGATCAGAATGGCAGCAAAAACTATTTTAAAACCCAGAGAAATGTTCACACCAGCAGCCTCCCACACCCAACACGGTTTTATTTATTTTTTTAACTCCACCGCACAGAACTTGGCAAGCTTCCTTTAATTATACACAGGGCATCGAGGGAGGGTAAAAGAATCTTCGGTAACCTCTGCTTTTGTCCGTTATTACTGAAGTCAAAGGAAACATTTGCCTAGAGCAATCTAGATTTGAAAATCCACCACTCCTGCCCCCAACCAGCTTCACCCAAGTTTGGAGAACTTTGAAGTAAGGTCAAGTTTTCATTATAGACACTGGTTAGCCCTGTGTCCACAGGGAATCACTATTTTCTCTTTGGTTCAGTTCAGTTCAGATGCTCAGTTGTGTCCGACTCTGCGACCCCATGGACTGCAGCATGCCAGGCCTCCCTGTCCATCACCAACTTCCAGAGTTTACTCAAACTCATGTCCATTGAGTCAGTGATGCCATCCAACTATCTCATCCTCTGTCATCCCCTTCTCCTCCTGCCCTCAATCTTTCCTAGCATCAGGGTCTTTTTAAATGAGTCAGCTCTTCGCATCAGGTGGCCAAAGTATTAGAGTTTCAGCTTCAACATCAGTCCCTCCAATGTACCAGGTGCTATTTTATTCTAAGTACCTTCACTGCCATAATTGTTCTTGAAAACAGTTCGTTGGCTTTATTATCTGAGCAATTTTCCTTTTATTGGCAAGGCTCTCAACAATCTAGCCCTGGTTGAATTTATCAGATGAAAGGTAGCACTCATGAGCACCTGCGCCTCTGCTAAATAAAACAAAGAATACCCATTTCTTAAAAACCTGACACTGCTAAAAGTGTGAAGTGTTTGTTAGTCATGTCTGACTTTTTGTGACCTCATGTATGCAAAAAGTCAACCCTTTTTTGCGACCCCTGCCAGGTTCCTCTGTCCATGGGGATTCTTAGGCAGGAACACTGGAGTGGGTTGCCATGCCTTCATCCAGGGGATCTTCCCGACCCAGGGTTGGAACCCAGGTCTCCCACTTTGCAGGCAGATTCTTTACCATCTCAGCCACAAATAAGGTTTGGGGGGCTGGGGCAGTCCACTCCGATGAAGCAGTGTTGGAACAGCACTCTGACCACTCAGGCTGGCAGCCCCAGTCAGTATTTGAGGGAGACTAGACCATCAGTTTACAGAGGAGGGCTGGTGGCTGCCAACCGAGCAGAGATGGGAGGAGACCTCTGAGCTGCCATGTGGTGGCATGGAAGGCCCTGCAGGTGCTTCTTTTCCCCTCAAAACAGCCCACAAAGGGTCCCAGCTGCCAGTGTAGCTGCCCAGCTGGAAAAACGATCATCCTCCCCTCTCCCTGCACACCCCCCAATACCCCACCCCCTTGGAGGAACTGATCTTGGACGAAAAGGCTTTCAAATTCCTCCCACATTATGTCTCCATTATTCCCTGTAGTTTGGGTTACAGAAACGTGTAAGGACAGGTTATTTCCATTGAAATTCCTGCAGCCATCATCTGCGGAGGAAGATCAGCTGGCAGGCTTAGGTGGATGAGGAAAAAAGTGAGGAGAGTAAGATCTAGCTTTAATACTGGCAAAAGTTGGGGAACCCCAATTTTTCAGAATTTTGATTTTTGAAATAGAAGAGATTTCAGTTGGGGGTTTTTCTTTCCTAACCCTCCCAAGTGCATCAAAATTTCTGGCAACTATGAGCGGTCACCTGATACTGCTTTTGCTCATAAAGAGAACTTGCTGAGGGCCACCTGCAGGCCTGCTTTCCTAGAACCCAGTGCGAATAGTTTGTTAAACAACTTGAGAAACTTATAGCATATCAGACGATACTGATTTTCTTGAATAGAATTTACTGACCTGGAAAGACTTCCCTGGCAATCCAATGGTTTAGACTCTGTGTGTCCAATGCAAGGGACACAAGTTCAATCCCTGGTCAGGGAACTAAAAGCCCATGAGCTGCGCGGTGTGGCCAAAAAAAATTTACTGACCTGGAATAGAACTATCCAGACTTACATCAAGAAATTTATTTTAAAAAGTAGCATGGCATCCTGGCAAATCAATCATATCACATCCACAGCCTGGTGGAGGGAAAGTAATTTTTGTGGGCCAAGTTTCATCATCACTGCAGTGTATAGATAACATGGATTTTTATCAGTAGTTGTTTTACATCAAGAATTTTGTTGACAAAGAACAATGCTAATTGCAATAAAACCACCACCTTGAAATATCACCATACATGACTCAAGCATTCCTGACAGTTGGTTCTTTGCATGTATGTACGTAAATCATATAGTCACCTATTAGGCAAATAATTTAATGACAGAACACAAGAATTTCTTTAAACATAGTATTTCAAGCTACTATATTTTTGTCTGGAGTACACACCTGAAATTGTACAAATTGTACCTAAATACTGAACCATGAGTTAAGTGGATAGAATGAAACAAAACAAACAAAAACACAGTTCTGACTTAAGTTCCCATTCCTTACTCCCATTCACTCTTAATTTGCCTCAGATGGTTTCTGTTGAAGAAATTCAGTTACATCTTTGCAGGACAACACAGGAGAAGGAGTACCGCCAGTGGGCTCTGGAGGAAGCCTCTTCCTGGGGGAGCCAGTCCCGTTTGCTATTTTGGCTTCAGTCCAGGCCTGTCTAGATGAAGCACTACGCAGTAGCTACTGACCATTTAAATATGGAGAAAAGGTAGGTAGAAAAATGCTTTTCAAGAAAAGACAAATGGAAGACCAGGCATAACACGAACCCGTCGGGCACAATGCTGAGCATCCTGCCTTCCTGACCTCCTAGTTTCTGGCAGGTGGCTAGAGTCACTATCGAGGCTTCAGGGAGAACAAAAAGCTTGCAGAAACTAGAGGTTTCCCACAGGGACAGACATACGGCCGAGGAGCTGAGGACTGTTACTAACAACACATCAGTTGCTCAGGCCGATTAAGACCTCTTTATCAGAGCCAGGGACGGGGGAGCCTGGTGGGCTGCCGTCTATGGGGTCGCACAGAGTTGGACACGACTGACGTGACTTAGCAGCAGCAGCATCAGAGCCCTGGGTGGTCCTAAGACCGGGACGGGGCAGCTCCCTTACACCAGACGACAGAGAACAGCTGCCCCTCCCAAGCCTGTAGAAACCCAATGAACTAGGGTTTGTGAGTAGTGCAGACAAACAGCATAGTTTAATAAAATGACTTCTTTCATTGATCAAGTCACACCCCAGAGACCACGTCGCTGAAATTCATGACGGCCAGAGGCCCATGTCAAAAGGCTCTCATGCTGGAAAAGCCCGACCAGAAGTGAGGGATCGTGAGACAAAAATTCAGCCCAGCTCACCTGACACCCCTCACGAAGAGGGCAAGTCCTAAGGATGTCCAAAAGGAGAGAGCTTCCCCCAGGAGCATCCTATTGTTAGATGCAGAGCAAGGGTCTCTCTCGGCTTCCGCAGTCTGCTCCCTGGAAGGGCTTCTGATTGGCGGAGGCAAAGGAGGGCGTGGGCCAAGGCGGAGAGAGAGTCCAACAGACTCCCTGGAACCCCACCCAGGCCAGTATCCAGAGGCAGAAAGCAGCTCAGGGAAGCGGTCAGCCACCTGCTTCACCGAGCCGTCCCCTCAGCCCCTTCCTCTAGCTCAAGCCCAGCAGAGGGGAGTCCCTTGGGCGAGGAGGGAGGAGAAGCCGCCCTGGGCTGCTTCCCAAAGGCTCCGGGCTGCTTCCCAAAGGCTCCGGGCCACACCCAGCCCTATGGGGGCGCGGAATGTGGTCCTACCTGGAAGATGATTGGCACTGTTCCCACAGAGGAGCATCCTAGGAGAATCCAGTATGCTTCCTCTGAAATGTCAGTCAAGAACGTGAAATTATGTGGGTACATTCTCCTTTTTAAAATCTAGAAGGACATCTTAAGTTTTCAAGCACCACAGGAAAACGTTTTAAAAACTGTACCCACTTAGTATAGTGTACGTGCTAAGCATATATATATATATATATTTTTTTTTTTTTTTTTAAGAGACCCTACATCTAGAATGGATTACACATTTATAACCATCCTCATGAAACATGGTTACCTCAGGGCTTTTTTGTCCTAATGCACTCTGAGATGAAACATGGAACTACACTGCTTCACTCACAACACATAACCATCTAAACTTCATGGACACATACAGGTTTATGCAAAAGCCCTTGATATAGCTCTACTCAGCCCTCCAGATTAGGTAAACCTCAGACCAGCAGCCCACCTACCCTGCATGTCCCACCATGGACAAGAGCAGCAACTTTTCTATTTCAATACAATTATGGGCAGAAATTATATGCTATAAAATAGAGGCTCTTTTATAAAGTTTAAGGTAGAAGAATGGAAGACAAAAAAAAATAATAATTTGCATGAAATCAAAATAACTCCACATTGGTCTTGTACTCTTTGAAACCCTGAGATGAACTGCAGTCCTCAAATGCCTGCACTTGGATCGAGGTTTGCTGCAATGCTTCAGTATGCTTCAAACTGGTTCATCATCAACTTCCTGCTGTATTCATAGGCCAAGAAGAGGGCCCCGTTGGCAGGGAATGCGCGAATCAAGGTAGGTTTCAGTCCAGAATATAAGGCCGGTACTCCTAGAACACAAAAGGGTGATCAAAGACTGTGATTTCCCTCCCCCCTTCTTGCAGATATCCCACGAACCCACACAGCATGGATACGTTTACACTTACAAATCCAGACAATAGAGCTAAAACCCAACAGTTATGGAGCAGGTTTCCCTGAGCTAATGGAACTAAACAGTCTAGTAGAAACAAGGGCAAGGGCAGGACTCTCAGTAAAGTTGGCAAACATTCACCAATCCCGTGCCTGTTAACTCCTGGTAGATGGATGTGGTAGAGCGGGGCCACATGGCTGACAGAAGGCAACCAGAGTCACAGATGGCAGCGGCTTTGCAGCTTCACGTGGGGGCGAAGACCGTGAGGCCAGGAGAAAGAATGTGGATGAGGTCAGAAATCTGACTAGTATCAGGTTTCTAGTATCAGTACTGCCCAAGGCGGTTCTGAAGATCCAGTCAGATAAGGGAGGTTTAAGTACTTTGTAAAACTATGAAAGTGAAATTGCAAATTGAAAAGGGGTTACTGGAGACCTCCCTGGTGGTCTAGTGGCTAAGACTCCTCGCTCCCATTGCAGGGGGCCCAGGTCTGATCCCTGGTCAGAGAACTAGATCCCACATGCATGTCACATGAAGAATCCCACATGCTGCAACTGAGACCTGGTGAAGCCAAATAAAAAAACAAAAGGGGTTACTATTAGTAATAGATGTTTTGTGCTCTATTTGGGGTTAAATCAGTTTCTGCATATTTACTGTGCTCGCTCTCGAGAGATGTGTATGTGCCAAGTTTTAAGATGCATAGTGAATGCTAGGACAGGTCTTTACTCACTAGTAGCATAAAATCGACTTTACACAACCACTACTTGAAAATGTCTTTTATATATATATATATCTCCTGTATAACCAAAACCTGATAGCAAATAACCTTCAGAAACTGCTTAGCGCCTTTCTCATTCCAGAAGTCTTAGTATTAAGGATGTACACTGTTTGAAATGTCTTAGCGATTCCATTAGAGCTCAGCTCCTGATAATATTGCTTAAAACAAGTGGTGCTAACTTCGAAACATCCAACTTCCTAGACAAAAGTATATACTTTAAAAATTCTCTCCAGGCTATTGAGAAAAAAAAAAAATCCTGGCCCAGAGGTTAGGAGCCAGGAGCTTTAAACATTCTTGAGAATAATGAAAGAACCTAAAGAAAGGGGTTTGAAAACAAATCCACAAGTGTGGGTTATATACACAGTTAGAAAAGGTTATGAGGTGGGGGAAATAAAAGCCATTATCCATGTGATCAACCTCAACAAGACTAGCGGTGAAACGACTGCTCTCTGTACACACCACCTCTGGTTCAGCCAATGGCAGACTCACCTTCATTTTTCACGATGCTTATAAAGGTTCCGATAAATCCTGCCTGTTTGCCAGACATGGAAAGAACTTGAATCCTGGATTTGATACAATCCACTGGGTAAACAGCAAGCCACAGGCAGATTCCACCAAATCCACCACTTAACATCAAAGGGACAGGGCCTAGAGGAGAAAATGAGCAAATGGTATTTTGTCTTGAGCACAGGTGATGTGACATTTCCAGAGGTCAGTGCAGCAGTGGCTGCAGGTGGGTGCAATCACCAACTGGGAAGCTGCGGAGCACAGTTCTCTGGGGCAGCAATCCAAGAGCACAGGTTCCTTGTGATAGCCTAGGGCCATCCCTCATGATGCCAGGACCAGGGGCAGCTCCAGTGAGGGTCAGATTTAGGCTGGTGACTGTGGCCCTCCTGCCGTGTCCTCCAGAGGCCTGCCCCCCACCCCCCCGCCAGAACCAGCAGGCCTCAGCAGCATGGCAACAGCCTGCCATGAGGAGTAAGAACAGAGGCCATGGAAACACAGGCTGCATCTTTTTTCAACTTTCTCTTAAGTATTTTAATATATTAATACCCTACAGCCCCGATTCTTCCTTTACAGAGAAAAACTGAAGTTATCTTATTAAACATGACAGTTAAGCCTGAGAGCACGATGATCCTCAGAACAGGTCCAAACACTGAAAGAAGGTGTTTAAGAAAAAAAAGTAATCCCCCACGAGCCAAGCATTGGGTCAGCCACTAGTGAGGATAAATGAGAAGGAAGGACCCTTCCCATTGCTCTCAAAATACTAGATCAAGGGGACTTCCCTGGTGGTCCAGTGGTTAAGACTTCACCTTCCACTGCAGAGGGGCGTGGCTTTGATCCCTGGTCAGAGAGATAAGATCCCACATGCTGCATAGCCAAAAAAAACCAAAACACAAAACAAGCAATGTTGTAACAAATTCAATAAAGACTTTAAAAAGAAATGGTCCACATCCAAAAAAACCTTTGGGGAAAAAAAAACACACACACACGCTATCAAGATTTATTACTAAGTTTAAACTTATTCAGAGATGCTTTATCGGTGATTTCCTCCAGGAGAAATGATGTCTGCAATCTTCCTTAAAATGGACCCGGAGAGAATGCAAAAATGGTATTCCAGTAAAAATAAGTTTGGAAAGTCTTGCTCCAGCCCCTACCCTGAGGAAATTACCTAGGTGGGAGGAAGGTGCTAGCTACCACTTGCCACTACGGTTACTCCCTGGCATCCAGAGGCGCCTAGGGCCAGGCGAACCCGCCGTGCACAGATTCCATAGCAACCACCACCACCCAGAAGCCAACACTTCAAACCCACCTGTGGTCCTAGCCAACAGGCTTACCTAATTCGTCTTTCGATCTCCCCGAGGCAAAAAATGACCGGCTCAGTTCATAGCCACCGAAAAAGAAGAAGTAGCCTGGTACTTCTCGCAGTAAAGTACTTGAGAGTCCGTGGTAGAAGCCCAAGGGGCCGTCCTTCCTAAAGACAGTCTTCACGACAGACCAGACTGTGCTGGGTGGAGACAGGGTGACAGACAGTTAGGACAACGTTCACACCCATCCCGTAGACCTGACGGAGCTCTGACCACCACGCAGCTCACTTTATAAACAGAGCAACCAGGATTCCAGCCCTAAAAGGCTTCTGTGGGAAGGAAATCTCCCAAACAGATACAATTATTTTATAACAAGTTTATCACTTGAGCTGGTCCATGTAAAGATATTTTATTAAAATGAATGCATAAATTTCTAGAAATCATTATCAAAGATCTAAAAGAGCCAATTACACCCATTTTTTTCAATAGTGAGTAAGTGAAACTACAATGAGATTGTCCAAACTCAGTGAGAATAAAATGGCATTGTTCATGCCCAGTCCCCTTACCGCCCTCAATTTCTATCTCCTCAGCCTTTCTTTTGAGCTGGTATATTTTGAGCGAACTGATTGTTCAGGTGTTTAGGGTTTTGTTTTGCTTCCATCCATGGAAGTGAGCAAGGAGCTGTACATGTTACTTAAAGGCAAGAACAAAAAAAATTCCAAGAGCCGAACTATGTCAGGCTAGACTCACCCAGTATTTAGTTCTTACAGGGGCAGGTGCGTAAGAATTTTTTACTTGAAGCAGATCAGAGCCTGAGGCAGCCTGAACACGGCACTCTCTGTGCAGGCTATTCTTCCTGATGGTGTCGGGGGTGGGGAGTGGGAGGCCCGTTCCCAATAGCACCAGAAACCAAGCCTGTTTGGCAGGCTCCTCACTGTGTTCTCAACAGGGGACCTGGCTTGGACCAGAGTGGGATCAGGCCCCAGGTAACAAAGGCCACCTGCTTTTATTGATGGTCTGCCTTCCCAGGCATTATCCACTAGCCAGTCCCTGCCTGCAGTGCCCTCTCCTTCTATACTGAAGAAGTAAAGTAATCCAGGGTTTCCCTGATGGCCCAGCAGGGAAAGAACCCGCCTGCCAATGCAGAAAACTCAGGAGACGTGGATTCGATACCTGGGTGGGGAAGATCCCCTGGAGAAGGGCATGGCAGCCCATTCCCATGCTCTTGTCTCGAGAATCCCATGGACAGAGGAGCCTGGCAGGCTATAGTCCGTAGGGTCGCAAATGGTTGGACACAATCGAGCGACTGATGCACGCACACACAAAGTAATTCAACTCAACACAGTTAGCCTGGTTCCAAGCCGGGTCTTAACCCTCAGCTACCATATTCCCAGATTGGGCACTGCTGTACCTAAAACATGTTTCCTTTTGTACAGGGTGTCCATCTACCAGAGTCCTTTGGATCTAACAATTACTTTCTTTAAAAATACTTTAAACCGCTTTCAAGAGACAACTTTCTGGGTGCTGTTAATGCACTATTCATCTGGGCACCAGCTGACAAAAAGGTTCATTTGTGACTATTTGTGGAACCGCACACTTAGGATTTCCTATGATTTCTGGGTGTGTTTCTGTTACTGTGTGTACACTGTATTTCATGAAAAAAAGCATTAAAAACTTTTGACCTTCTAGGATATGAATAATAGATTCAAATAGGTTGTAATGAATCTCTTGGCTGCAGGAAATAGGGTGCTATTATGAACCCCGTTTTCATTGGAAGGAAACTGACGACTCGGAAAATGGTCAGTTTATCCACCAGTTCTTCCCAGCAGTTTATTTATTGGCTTTTGAGTTAACCTGAGCAATACCCATGACCAAACCTTTACTTAGTTAAAATAAATAAGCAAATTTGGGATGAATAAGGATAATAAATTGCTTTTTAATTCAAATAATAAATAATGTATATGATTCATACATTCATGGGATAACTCAATTACTGAAGACTTGCTAAGCTTACAAGGGTTTGATGAATGTTTTCAGAATTTGGGCCCTTTGTAGGTATACTTAAAGGACTTCTTGTTGTTTAGTCATTAGGTCATGTCTGACTCTGTGACCCCATGGATTGTAGCCTGCCAGGCTCCTCTGTCCGTGGGATTCTCAAGGCAAGAATACTGGAGTGGGAAGACATTCCCTTCTCTAGGGGCACTTGAAGGATTAGGGAAGGGGGAAAAGAAGTCACCAGGATCTGGTGTGCTTAGCATGAGCACTGATGTGAAACTGGGTAGTGAGCAAATATTCACCCCAGAATCCAAAGTGGCACCTAGGAAAGCGCAGCCTCAGCCCCAAAGCCGCTGCTATGTGTTTCTAGGTATATATGGAGGTCACACCTTAGGCTCTCCACAGGCCAAATGAGGTAGAAGCCCTGCTTCCCCACTTTTAGGATATGAAATATTTGTCTACAGGGACTTCCCTGATAGTTCAGTGGTTAAGACTACACACTTCCAATGCATGGGGTGCAGGTTCAATCCCTGATCGCAGCACCAAGATCCCACATACCTCATGGCACAGCCTTCCCACCAAAAAAAAATTTTTTTTTAAATTAGGAAAAATAATAAATCATTGTTAAAATCTTTTGCCTACATTCTGGGGTGGGTTGTGGGTCCAACCATCCCAGACTGTCCATTCAGAAAATTATTCTCTGATTGGTGGGCGTGGAGGGGAAGTGTTTGGAGTAGATAAACTGTTTTGCTTCTTAATTATAGCATAATATAAAATTTAAAAATATTCATTACACCAAGGCAACCTGACGTTTGTACCCAGGCAGCGCTTACTTCTGGCTTTTGGCTATCTTGCCCGACGTCTCCATCTCATACATGGTCTGCAGCCGGCACTTCACCAGCTCCGTGGGGCAGAGGACCAGGGCAGCAAAGGCAGAGGCGAAGGAGCCGGCAGCTGCGTTCTGCAGATCACTAGGAGGGTGCAAGCACAGGCAGCCCGTTACTCATTCGCTCGGCACTGGGCAGGCTCCAACACGGATGGTAAAGCAGAGTGAGCTCAGGCGGAGAGGGACGCTCCTTCAGCGCCCACCAGGCTTCCTCCGAGGAGCCCACCACCCCATGGGGGCGATAGCAGCATCCTGACTTCCGGGGAAAATGATGCTTAAGAGATGATACCCATGTGCTCAGTCACACAGGTGCTAAGTGGCAATGCTAGGCTTTAAACCCGGGTCTCTCTGATGGCAAACCCATACTTCTTTTATTAGTCATACAGCTATGGCCTGGACCCCACCCCCAGATTCCAGTGCTGAAGCATTCACCCTCCATGTGACAGTATCTGGAGGGAAGTCTTTGGGGGGTAATTAGTTTGAGACAGGGTCCTGATGTGATTGTAGAAGAGACTGGAGAGCTGGCTGCTGTTCTCTCCACCATGTGAGAGGACAGGCAGGTGGCTCTCTGCAAACCAGGAGACGGCCCTCGCTGGACACCAAATCAGCCAGCACCTACCTCATTCCTAGACTTCCCAGCCTCCAGAACCGTGAGAAACAAATGTTTGTTTTTAAACCACTCAGTCCAGGGTATTTTGTTCTATCAGTCAGAACTAAGACAAAAAGTGACACAGAGAAACCAAGTTTGGAAGAAAAAATTCCCTAAGGTCCCACCACCCCGAACATATACTCCATTAATACTTCAGTGTGTTTGCTGCTGAGCTTTAAATAAAACTAGTTTTCAAGGCCATCCCTATGTGCCCTGCATCCAGCCCAGAGCAACCACAAGTGTAATGTAACTACTACAGATGAAACCAAGATCATGGCATCCAGTCCCATCACTTCATGGCAAATAGATGGGGAAACAGTGGAAACAATGGCTGAGTTTATTTTTTTGAGCTTCAAAATCACTGCAGATGGTGACTGCAGCCATGAAATTAAAAGACGCTTACTCCTTGGAAGGAAAGTTATGACCAACCTAGACAGCTTATTAAAAAGCAGAGACGTTACTTTGCCAACAAAGGTCCGTCTAGTCAAGGCTATGGTTTTTCCAGTGGTCATGTATGGATGTGAGAGTTGGACTATAAAGAAAGCTGAGCACTGAAGAATTGATGCTTTTGAACTGTGGTGTTGGAGAAGACTCTTGAGAGTCCCTTGAAGGGACTAGATCTGACAGACAGAGTGCCTGATGAACTATGGACGGAGGTTCACGACATTGTACAGGAGACAGGGATCAAGACCATCCCCAAGAAAAAGAAATGCAAAAAAGCAAAATGGCTGTCTGAGGCGGCCTTACAAACAGCTGTCAAAAGAAGAGAAGCGAAAAGCAAAGGAGAAAAGGAAAGATATACCCACTTGAATGCAGAGTTCCAAAGAATAGCAAAGAGAGATAAGAAAGCCTTCCTCAGTGATCAATACAAAATAGAGGAAAACAACAGAATGGGAAAGACTAGAGATCTCTTCAAGAAAATTAGAGATACCAAGGGAACATTTCATGCAAAGATGGGCTCAATAAAGGACAGAAATGGTAGGGACCTAACAGAAGCAGAAGATATTAAGAAGCGATGGCAAGAATACTCAGAAGAACTGTACAAAAAAGATCTTCGTGACCCAGATAATCAAGATGGTGTGATCCCTTACCTGGAGCCAGACATCCTGGATGTGAAGTCAAGTGGGCCTTAGAAATCACTACGAACAAAGCTGGTGGAGGTGATGGAATTCCAGTTGAGCTATTTCATTTTTTTTTCCATTTATTTTTATTAGTTGGAGGCTAATTACATTACAATATTGTAGTGGTTTTTGCCATACATTGACATGAATCAGCCATGAATTTACATGTGTTCCAGTTGAGCTATTTCAAATCCTAAAAGATGCTGTGAAAGTGCTGCACTCAATATGTCAGCAAATTTGGAAAACTCAGCAGTGGCCACAGGACTGGAAAAGGTCAGTTTTCACTCCAATCCCTAAGAAAGGCAATGCCAAAGAGTGCTCAAACTACCACACAATTGCACTCATCTCACACGCTAGTGAAGTAATACTCAAAATTCTCCAAGCCAGGCTTCAGCAATATGTGAACCGTGACCTTTCAGATATTCAAGCTAGTTTTAGAAAAGGCAGAGGAACCAGAGATCAAATTGCCAACATCTGCTGGATCATCGAAAAAGCAAAAGAATCCCAGAAAAACATCTATTTCTGCTTTATTGACTATGCCAAAGCCTTTGACTTTGTGGATCACAATAAACTGTGGAAAATTCTGAAAGAGATGGGAATACCAGACCTGTATGCAGGTCAGGAAGCAACAGTTAGAACTGGACATGGAACAACAGACTGGGTCCAAATAGGAAAAGGAGTACGTCAAGGCTGTATATTGTCACCCTGCTTATTTAACTTATATGCAGAGTACATCAAGAGAAACACTGGGCTAGATGAAGCACAAGCTGCAATCAAGATTGCCAGGAGAAATATCAATAACCTCAGATATGCAGATGACACCACCCTTTTGGCAGAAAGTGAAGAAGAACTAAAGAGCCTCTTGAAAGTGAAAGAGGAGAGAGAAAAAGTTTGCTTAAAACTCAACATTCAGAAAGCTAAGATCATGGCATCCGGTCCCATCACTTCACAGCATATAAATGGGGAAACAGCAGAAACAGTGGCTGACTATTTTTTTGGGCTCCAAAATCACTGCAGATGGTGACTGCAGCCATGAAATTAAAAGACGCTTACTCCTTGGAAGGAAAGTTATGACCAACCTAGACAACATATTGAAAGGCAGAGATGTTGCTTTGTCAACAAAGGTCTGTCTAGTCAAGGCTATGGTTTTTTCAGTAGTCATGTATGGATGTGAGAATTGGACTATAAAGAAAGCTGAGCGCAGAAGAATTGATGCTTTTGAACTGTGGTGTTGGAGGAGACTCTTGAGAGTCCCTTGGACTGCAAGGAGATCCAACCAGTCCATCCTAAAGGAAATCAGTCCTGAATTTTCATTGAAAGGACTGATGCTGAAGCTGAAACTCCAATACTTTGGCCATCTGATGTGAAGAAAGAAAAAAAGGGAAGTCGCTCAGTTGTGTCCAACTCTTTGTGACCCCATGGACTGTAGCCTACCAGGTTCCTCCATCCATGGGGTTTTCCAGGCAAGAATACTGGAGTGGGTTGTCACTTCCTTCTCCAGGAAATCTTCCTGACCCAGGGATTGAACCCGGGTCTCCAACATTGTAGGCAGACACTTTACCGTCTCAGCCACCAGGGCATGTGAAGAGCTGACTCATTTGAAAGACCCTGATGGAGGGAGGAGCCAAGATGGCGGAGGAACAGGATGGGGAGACCACTTTCTCCCCTACAAACTCATCAAAAGAATAACGGAATGCAGAGCAAACTTCACAAAACAACTTCTGATCGCTAGCTGAGGTCATCAGGCGCCCAGAAAAGAACCCATTGTCTTTGAAAGGAGGTAGGACAAAACATAAAAGATAAAAAGAGAGACAAAAGAGCTAAGGATGGAGATCCGTCCCGGGAAGGGAGTCTTAATAGAGTTTCCAAACACCAGGAAACCCTCACACTGGCGGGTCTGGGGGAAGTTTTTAAATCTCGGAGGGCAACCTGACTGGGAGGGGAGCAATAAATAAAACCCACAGATTATGTGCCTAAAAGCAACTCCCAGCAGAAAAGTACCCCAGACGCCCACATCCTCCACCAGCAAGTGGGGGCGGAACGGAGAGGAGCGGGCGGCTTTGCTTAGGGTAAGAACTGGGCCTGAATGCCCTGAGGACAATCAGAGGGAGCTTTTGTGAGTTACCAACTTAAACTGGGGGACAGCAAAAGAGAGAGAGAAAATTAAACGGCCCGAGAACATGCTGCCGGCTGTTCGCAGAACAAAGGGCCTAAGCAAGTCCAGGGAAGAGCTAGCCTGCAGCGGACTGGCCCAGCCCACCCCCACCCCCAGGCAGGAGGCAGTGGGGAGGGGAAAGGGGCAGGCTCGGCCCCAAGGACAGCATTCCCTACCGCACTGCAAACAGGCCTCCAGTTTCTAATCAAAGACCTCCTGAGATTCTGGATGGTCGACATCTGCCGGGAGGCACCCGACTGGCATGGGCGGGGACTGGGGCTGGGGACCACGGAGGGGAGAAGGTGCGCCGCGCCAGGGAGAGTGCGCCCGTCAAGCTCCTGGCTGCCTGAGCCGCTAGGGCGGGGAAGGCACAAAAAGCAGGCGCAGCTTTTGTTCTCGGCTTTTGTGAAACACCCGAGGGCTGGAACCTCGCGCAGCACAGGGCACGCTCCATATAAAACAGCCGGGAGCCTGAGCAGCGTAGAGGGGAAAGCAGCACCAGCCCCTCCCCGCAGCGCGACGGAACTAGCAACCTGAATGAGAGTCCACCTCCGCCCGCCTGTGTCAGGGCGGAAATTAGGCACTGAAGAGACTGGCAAACAGAAGCCAAATAAACAAAGGGAACCGTTTCAGAAGGGACCAGTGCAACTGATTAAAATCCCTGTGGGTAACACCGACTACACCGGAAGGAAGAAGGGGCCTGTAGATATCGAGAAGTGTAAGCTGGAACGAGGAGCTATCTGAAACTGAACCGAACCCACACTGACCACAACAGCTCCAGAGAAATTCCTAGATATATTTTTACTTTCTTTTTTTAAGTAAAAAAAAAATTTTTTTTCTTCTTTTTTCTCTTTTATTTTCTTTTAAAATTCCCTATTACTCCCCCATTACTCCTTAACTTTCATTTTCATAGATTTTTACGACTTTTTTAATTAGGAAAAATTTTCTTTTTTCTTTTTTTTCCTTTTTCTCTATTTTCTATTTTTCTTTTTCTCTTATTTCCTTTTAAAGTCTTCTATTACTCCCCTACTACTCCTTAATTTTCATTTTCATTACACTATAACCTTACAAAAAAAAAAGAAGCCCTATTTTTAAACCAAACTTCATATATATTTCTAAAATTTTTTTGTGTGTTTTGGTTTTTGTTTTTAATATAGTAT